TACATCTCTTATTATTATTATTATTATTGTTGTTGTTGTTGTTGTTATTATTATTATTATTATTATTATTATTATTATTATTATTATTATTATTATTATGAGGAGCTTAAAAAGAATACCAAATCTTGTGTCAAGAAAATGGCCGAGTTCTTGAAATGCCCGTTTTCGACCCCGAGAAGAAGAAGAAGATGGTGAAGGGTTGGTTGAAGGTATCATAAAGCTTTGCAGCTTCGAAAACGTCATACTTGGAATGTAATAAACATGGTGAGGTGGGATTGACCAGAATCAAGTGTTCTTCAGGAAAGGAGGTTGGAGATTGGACGAATTTTCTCACTCCTTCTATGGATGAACGCCTTCAAAGCTTGATGAATGAAAAGTTTACTGGATTAGGTTTGGATCTAAGTATTAATTCATGAGTGAATACTGAAATCTTTTATCAATTAGGGATCAGAAGTATTATTGTATTATTAATCCATGTATAATATGAATTAATTGATGCCTCCCCTAGCTAGTAAATCTAAGGCTCCGTTTGATAATCACTGAAGTCTGAATCTGAACACTTAACACTTAACACTGAAGTCTGAAGTCTGAAAACTGAATTTACATTGTTTGATAAAAACGTCTGAGTATGATGTCTGAAGACTGAAGTCTGAAGACTGAATCTAAATACTCATGTCTGAAAGTTATTTAAAATTTTAATATCATTAAAATTGAATTATAAACAAAATTCTTTTAAATAGAAAAATACTAATATTTTGTTCTAAATAATAAAATAATAATTTTAAAATAAGTTTTTGGTATATAAAATAAAAGTAAATGTTACACTTGGTAAATAATCAATATGTAATTAAATTTAGATTATTACGTATATATGTATATCTTGTTATTTAGCAAATTTCATGTATTAAAATTAGTTTAATTTGAGTTTGAAAGTTTGAGATCTTTTATACTCATAATATAAATTCAACTTTAAGCACTCTTAATTAATTTATCTTAAGAAAATAAAAATTTTAAAATAATGTAAAAATAAGCGACAAAATAATAACGAGGGAAAAAGAGGAAAAAAAGAAAAAAAAAGAGTCATCACAGAAATTAAGTGATAAGTGATAAGTGGTAGGTCTATCACTTATTTTCTAGCTCACAATTGAACTGGACATTCAGACGCACTTAATTAATTCAGACAGTGAAATTTTAGTAATCAAACGCACTTAATTTATAAATACTTAATTGTTTCATAACTTAATTCATTAAGACTTTTTAGTAGCAATTATCAAACACACTTAATTTTATTAAGTACTTAATAAATTAAGTCATTATATTAAGTGATTATCAAACAGAACCTAAGTTTATATGTACTGTCTGAGAGTTTGTTTCATTTGCTATTTGCATTTTAATGAATTTTTTGTTGATATTTTTGTCGGTAAAATTCGAGTTTTGGGCTTCCCATGGTATATCAACACAACTATTTGTGACAGCGAAATCCTATCCTTAATCATGTTCTTATACTCAAAGGAAAATTTGGAGGTGGTGGAGATATAAATAGTGACAGAAAAATTGGTCTCATCGGTATGAAGAATCATATCTTCGGCTGATTGTCAGCTCATTAACAAGGAGAAAAAACAAATTATAATGGTCACTTATTAGGTACCACTAAATTATTGATCATCTCTTCTATCACATTCTTCACAAGTAATTCCATCCTATATTCATGCATTATCTCAATCAATGTTAAGTTATTAACTAATCGCAAACAATCCGTTTATATATATATGCAAACCCGCTCCATGAGGAAAATTACATGATGAGGAAAGAAAGACACGAATGATACCATTTCACACTTCGATCATTTTTTTTTTTTTTTTTTTTACTTATTTGCGAGTAACCTTGCATGATGATAGACTTTTCTCTTATATTGCCAATTATAATATAGGGATCCTAGGTACATCTAGCAAGATGTACCTAGGGTGAAGCTCACGCGACCAAAAAAAGGGGAACTCCCAATATTTACAACAATGTCATCCGATTGTTTACACGCGCCCATTAATATCCCCATTATGTGTGATTTTTTGATTTTCAAATCTTGATAACCACCGTTATCTCCTAATTTTCAGCCATTATTGATGATCCAACATTCCATTCGATCTATTCCATTACTCCTCAAATAAAAAAATAAAAAAAAACCGAAACCTCAAAAAATCAATCCTGCGGCGATATATTCAGAGAAGCTATCGTCGGCGGGACTTCTGAAGTCTGAATCGAATCGTTCATAAAAAACGGTAATTTTGATTACAAGTTACAATACTGAAGATGAGGATTAAGGTGTATCCTGGTCAAATTCATCGATTTTTCTGTGTTTATCCATTGTTGTTTGATTCTGGTTTGATGAATGTTGTTTTTTCTTAAAATATTCATGTAGATGCCTATGGCTGAGGATTCCGAACCGAGTATGAGCAAATCGGAGGATGAAGGGGACGCGAGGTAATACAACTACTCTCTTCAATCATTGGTGTGGTTTTTTTGTTTGGGTTATGTAGATCTAAGGTATGTTTACTCAAGTAACGATGTTTGTTCATCAATTTTAGAGATATGTTCTTCGATTTGCTTTTTTTTTTTTGGTAAATTAGAAGATCTGAGAATTATTCATCAGTTTGGTATAATTAGTTATTGTTGAAATTATCAGATTCATCATTTTCATAACTATTGAAATTATCAAATTCATCAATTTTAGAGTTTTGTTCTTCTATTGGATGTTGTTTTTCTGGTAAATTAGTAGATTTGTGTATTATTCATCAGTTTTGGTATAATTATTCATTGTTGAAATTGTCAGATTCATCGTTTACCATAATTATGTAGTATTATTTTTTGGTAAATTATTAGATCTTTGCAGTATTCATCAGTTTGGTATAATTATTCATTGTTGAAATTGCCAGATTCATCGTTTACCATCACTATGTAGTATTGTTTTTTTTAGTAAATTACTAGATATTTGTATTATTCATCAGTTTGGTATAATTATTCATTATTGAAATTGCCGGATTAATCACATTTGACAAGTTATTCATGGAATTTGTAAATATATTGTAGCATGAACGATGAATATCAGACACAATCTGAAAGAAGCATGAGCGAAGAACAACATTCAGAAGCCAAAAGAAGCAGGATATCTGAATCTGCAAAAAATCAAACCATAATAAGTGTAGATATTGATATAGAGGGTTATTTATCAGTTTGGGATAATTATTCATTGTTGAAATTGTCGTATTCATCAGTTTGGTATAATTATTCATTGTTGTATCACACCTACCTCTTGAATTTTTTACTCCTTGTTTGCTACATGCAAATTGTTTCCAATATACAACACCAGATTTAGACATTTTCCAATCTTTGAACTTGTTTATTGAAAAAACCAATGTGCTTTGTGTAAGAATTATAAGCAACAAAAGTCTCTTCCTCATAGTTGAAACATCGTCCAATTAGCAAAACTTTTGTTATTCATCAATAACAACTCGTTATTCATTAGTTAACATAAGATATTCATCATAAAATCGTAATAATATAATACACCATTGGTCAAAAAACAACAATGAACACCCTGTTCATCAATAAGCATACATTACGCGTTACCTTACGCAACGAGCGACAAGAAGAAACCTAGTTTTAAAAAAATAATCTCATAAAATAAAATAATATAAAAGCTAACATGATAAGCATTAAAAAAAGATAACATTTGAAATTAAACATGTGCTAAAATAAAGGGATAAAATTTGGAGGAATTAATTCACGTAGTTAAAATTTGGAGGAAAAAAAGGGATAACATTTGATCACGTAATTAAACTGATGATTTGCATAATAAATGCGCGTGTGGATTCTTTTTTTTTGGACTCAATTATTCCAATTTTTCTTCCCTCATGTGTGGTTCACGCACTGCCTAGATACACCTTGCAAGGTGTACCTAGGATTACAATATATGAAGACATTAAAATATCTTCTGTCACTTAAAAAAAAAAAAAACAAAATTATAACGAGGAGGTTGGAAGTTTTTGCTCTCAACCGAGCAATTTTAAATTGCTCCAACAGTTTAGCCAAAACAAAATTTTACTCCACAATGTGCATACAGTCATTGCATGCGCATAACCCCCCTCCCAAGAGAGAGAGAGAGAGAGAGAGAGAGAGAGAGAGAGAGAGAGAGAGAGAGAGAGAGAGAGAGAGAGAGAGAGAGAGAGAGAGAGAGATGTCATATATGCATTTTCCTTCTAAATCTATAAAATTATAGTACCCGTATTTGTACAAATTTGAAAGAACGACTAAGAATACATTTTATTCTTTTCATGTATTTTTATAGGTGTGTGTAGTATGTTTGGTTTGTTCTTTTAGTGTTTGTTTTTAAGTGTTTTTTGTATTAGAAATGTAAAAAGATGCATTGGGACGGAACAATTATTATTATTATTGTGAAAAAACAATATAGTACTTTTATTACTGTAATGATCTCAACACCTGAATAAGCTGAGAAAAATTCATTGGTGCCGTCAGACGTTGGGAAGGAAACTATAATCGAACCTTTACTTTGAAATATTACCCTAACTGTCTAATATCAGATACATTTTGGGAGTAGATTAAAGGAAGGTAGATCAATTCATGAAACCAGAAAAGGTAGATCAACTGAATACACTTTTTTCCTTCTGATATGAGAAGTGGAGAAAATAGTGAAGAAAATCAAATGCAAATAATGTATGGATTGCAGAGAGATACAAGAGTCTGTGGATGACAATAAATGGTAAACCTACATTGTCCTTTCAACTAGTACACGTTGATTTGTAAGCATTTCTGTACATCACAAAACAATGGATAGTAAGCACCTGTGATCTATATTGAACTAGTATAAGCTATAAGTTCGGTTCAGAAGAATATATGAACAATTGTTATCAGAAAGGTAAAGAAGAAAAAACGGGAAAAAAAAATGAGGCAGCATGCAGCTGAGTATGGACAGAAGCAACATGATGTCATATCATTTTCTCGAATTTATCGAGTTTCTTAACCCTTTGCATTGATCTCATAAACAAGGCGAGGAAGACACCTGGATCCGAAAGTAAAGACATACATCAAATGTATACTAGTTAAGACGGTTTTAGATTTCAATGTCAAGTTCTCTCTCTGTAAAAAAGATGTTACCTGCACCAACAAAAGATCCATTTGCTATGACTGGACTGCCTTGATTGCTAAAGGTAACCCCGAGGTTCAGCAGGGTGCCACCTAAAACTGTATACATGGTGGCCATTTGCAATATGGTTGCTTTTCTAGCAGCTCTTTCTGACTGAAACATGCAACAATAACAATTTTAGAAAGAAGAATTACGTCAATGATAAGAAGAGACACAGGTAAAACGACATAAATTTGAATTCAAACTAAAACTTATTGAACAGTTCAATCACCTCCAGAACTCGAACTCGTAGTTTCAAGTCTCCTGACTCGAGTTCTTTCACAAACTCTTCTATCCGCTGAATTCTGTAAGGCATGGAAACTGTGGATGTTCTGGCCTGAGCATTTTGTCCACAAATGGTCAGTCAAAATTGGAAAAATTTACAGTGTACAGTGAAGAGAAAATACAGAAACGATGGAATATTGACAGTGGGAGTGAAGAGAGACCATATGTTTGAACTTTTGATCCAGTTTCTGAATGACCACAAACTTTTCATTGAGAAGTTAACTTAATCAACAGATAGGTGATATGACAAAATCAAACAATAAGAGAGAGAATAATGTCTTTCTTAATTCGGACACAGATACCAAGCTTTATGTAAAATTCACTGCAAGATTGTCAGATTCAGTTCACTCGATATTTCAATAATATTCTCTAAAAACAAAAAACGATTCCCATAGGAGCAAGCCAAGCAGAGCCTTACATCATCAGCTTGTTTACGCAACTCCTGAACAAGTCTTGTTCCAGTCCTTTGCCTCTGTCTCATATCCAAGAGTTCCTATAGGCCAACAAAAGAATGATAACACACAAAAAGAAACTCATGAATAAATTCTAAAACCAAGAGTATTGTCATTTTATACGAACAAGCATGTTAATGTCACCTGTGCATATGGCGCAGCAATCTTAGCGAAGGAAAAATCTGGATCCAGTATGTAGCCAATGCCTGGAAGTGCAAAAGCTTCATTTTAAATACACAGCAGCAACTAATTTAAGGTGGTAAAAGACGGCCAGTGAGATAGAAACCTTCAAGAGTTGAAAATGCCCTGAGCACAAAGGTGAAAGTTGAAGGAAAGCGAAACGGCTGATCTGTTGCTATAGCAAATAAATCCTGCAGGTTATTTGTTCACAAAAATTGGTCAAGGGAGGAGGATATAGTCCAACTTTTACAAAAACAGTGAATGATAAACAAGATGACAACTACAAACAAAGAAAATAAAACACGGGAAAAAATGTTCTTTTCATACGTCAGAAAACATTTCGAGGAACAATTATGCCACAAATTCTCACTCTGACATCGATTCTTACAAACGTTTCATATCTGTGTTGACCATATAATATTGTCCTAAGGCTGTAAAGACAGAAGGTTGAAATAAATACATAAACTTTAGTGTACCTCGCCGATTGCAGAAAAAGTTTGCTGTTGATCTGGTGTTTGATTCAATAAGTTATCTAAGAAAAATTGCACTGATCTCCTCACCTGGTCACAAGAGATACTTAATTACTAATAAGATAATGTTTTTTTTTTTTTGAAAAAGAAATAATAAGATAATGTTATGAAGTCCTTTATCACTTGATCCTGCATCATATTTTTGTAATTTTAACAGGGATCCGAGTTTGTAGCTATACCGATGACATGTCCCCAGTTGGCTGCAGCGCACCCAAGTCAATGAGATTGCGCATTACCTGGATCAGTAACTTATCATTAACAAATGAAATTAAGAAATATTTCGGCACAGTAAAAAAAAAGTAGAAACCTTGCATTCACAACCGAAAGAAAGTACCTATCTCTGTGGATTCTTAATCAATCTATGGGTCATTCTTTTTTTTTTTTTTTTTTCCAAATCAATGGGTCATTCTTTCAAACTAAATGTGTGATTAAACTACCAAGCAAAAAACTACACGTATCAGTTCAGAGATGAGTAGATTCATTCATTCCCATCTTAGTTTCAGTTTCTAGTTCATTTCATTCTATGCGCCTTTCAGCTCATGGCTCACTTTAAATGATGCACCATGTCCCATAAATTTCCAGGTTAGTACTGGGTTGGCCAGCTGAGAGTTTATTCTTTGAGGAGTCTTATATTACAAATGCGGAAAAGGCGTGAATACTCAGTTAACATTTTCCCCCCTCGGACAACCTAAGAGTAAAACTGCAACGAATGTGGAAATGAGCATTTTGGTGTTCATAAGCATCATTATCTAGCATTTTTGTCGTTCTACCTTCCATGCACCTTTGTGCTAGAACATTAAAGAGTGATTTGAAACATCATCCCTCATTAATTTTTTTCAATGCAATAATTCAACTTCAGCTGTTGTTGTTTTCATTGATTCCAAATTACAGAATCCATACAAGGGAATAAACCTTTTAACCTGGCTAAAATAAATCAAAAATCTTACAGCATATAGACAGAAGTTCACCCCTAAACTTCATGCTATTGCTAGCTAAAAACCTCAAAACTGTTAATGGCAGTAAAATACATCAATAAAAGATTATCTCCTAGGTTCTCCTCGAACCAAAATACCCAACATATAAACATTTAAATCATTGATAAATATGGTTCATGTAATGAACTCTATGAAGATACACCTAAATTCTCGAGAGGGGTGTACAACCCTAAAATTCAGTTTCTGGGATAACCAATACTCTAGTTTAACTAACAGTACACTAGCCTGATATAATCTTCCCCCTAGTTGCTTGTCTTGCATAATGCATACAAGAGGAAGAGGTACATATGCATCAACTGCACTTTATCTTATGAGAAGGAAACAAATTCAAACAAGGTAAAGGAAAAAAAATCATCTTAAAAATCTACAAATCAAGCGCAGTGCCTGAAAGTACTGAATATTAAATTGAGCAAGAGGAGAAACTAGACCTTTTTTGCATCCTTCTCATAAACTGAATAGAAAAGTTCCAACAATCTCTCCTTTGTGAAACTCTTTATGTCTCCCATCATACCAAAATCGTAGTAAATGAGTGCTTCATCGACATCTATAGCAAGATTTCCGGGATGTGGATCAGCATGAAAGAAACCTGTCCTCAAGATCTATATACACGGCAAGTTTTCAAAATCGATACATTGAGAAATCACAACATTATACAATTAACTTGGTAATCCTTTCTAACCTGGATTAAGTAGGCCTCAATAGCACGTGATGCAATCCGAGTTCTACTAAAACCACGTGCATCTATCTTATCCAACTGGTTTATCTTAACTCCTGCCCATGAAACACAGTAGCCATTAATACACAGACCAATGCCATTTTCAGTCTTTTTTGACATGGATATATTGAAGCTTTTTGAATTAAAGAAATAGCATACACAAACCTGGAACATACTCCAGTGTCAACACCTTTGTTGCTGTGTAATCCCAATAAACCAACTGAAGCAGAACATAGAACACCACAATTTCAAAAATAAAAATTAATAAAATAAAAACAAGAAGCTTCTTGCCCTTGTTTATGAAAGTTGAACTTTGATCCAGATTCTGAATGACCACCAACTTATCATTGAAAAGTTAAGCAACAGACAGATGAAGGCAACATATGACAACTGTTTCAAGAATAGAAGTGGACATTGTAATCGCGAATCTAAAAATACAATGCACTATGCAGCAACAACCAAGAAAGGGTCAACTGAGTTGTTAATGTAAGTGTTTGTATCCAGAAATTTGGAAGTTAGAGGAAATCTAGCAAACTTTAACTTGGAGAGCAGAAATGCACGTCGTAATCAGTACTTTTCATTTCATTAATGAAAGGGTGCCCATACTGAAAAGACTGAACTTAACTCACTTCCCAAGAATATAAGCAGTGGTAGAGAGGTTAATGTAACACCGTAGTTAAGTAATGACGTAGGAGGATACATGAGCATGCAGATACCAGAAGATAGAGAAAGCAAGTAAAAAAGAATAGATGAAACTTACAGGTACTCGGACCCACTTTATATTCCTAAAATCCCGGCGAAATCTATCAGCATTCTTCCCTTCATTTATATAATCAATTTCCTCGTACAAAATCCTGAAATTTGAATGGAACGCGTTACTCTACAACATAGATGTGCTTCCCAGACTTTGTCATGCTGCTACCTATTTTTTAAGGCACCATTCTTGACACTTAAGAAAACAATTATCAAGATGACAAAAATAAAATCACATGTAAAGTGCATGACTGCAAGTGATCAGAACAAGTTGGCAGACTCTGAACAAAGTTGTGTCAGACTCTGAACAATGTGTTTGGATTGCATGATATTCAAAATAGTAATAGTCTACTTTGCAGATATCGCTAGTGCAAAACTCTTATTTTTGCTAAAATGTATTACATTCTAAATTTAGTCAGAACTAAAATGCAAGGCAAAAACCTAGAACAGAAGTCTGCTTTAAAATGTAGTGCAACTATTAGGAAGTCTAAAATAGATCATTTTAGGAAATTTCTTTGATTTTCTATCTGCTCAGACATATTTTATAAAATACAATTGCCACCTATCACAACAGGTGTCTGATCTGTACATTACAAGAACAAACCTAAGAAACACTGTGACTCCAGATGCATTCAGAGAAAAAAAAAAAAAAAAAAAAGAACAAACAAACAAACAAACAAACTTGAACATAATAATAAGAATAATAATAATAATAATAACAATATTGAAAGAGACGGGAGAACAAAAGACTAGTTCCTTTCTGAACGACATAAACAGAAAAACATTTGTGGAAGCTACCAAGACTTTTTGTAAACTCTTTTAAAAACCAGTTTCCTCATGTATAACCTAGGAGAAAACAGTAGGGGAAAAAATTGGAGAAGAATTTGGAAGTGATTTGTTATCCTTACTTGGCACATTCATCATAGATTCCTATCCAGTCCCTTGTTGGACCACCAAGAGTTTCACTTTTCTGAAAGTATTCAGCAATCAACTTCAAGTTGCCTGGAATGGGGAATGTAATCGGGGAGAAAAGCATAAGAAAAGAGATAACAACATAACAGCAGAATCGGCACTATTTGTTAAGTATTTACATTACATACGCAAATCAATGTCAAAAAGTTTCTTCAGGCCCGGTCTTTGAACTTTGACGACTACTGTTTCTCCATTGTGTAAGATTGCACGATGCACCTAACAAAATTCCGCAAAGCATTAAGTACAGATGCATCCTTAGACATAGGACAATACAAAAAAACATTATAAAATCTTTGGACACTGATTTCTGACAGTATGTGATATACTATTAATGATTACTCTTTCAAAAGTAACCTAAATTATTCGGCGCCTTCAACAAGTTGCCCCTTCTTCAAATCTCAATGTAGAATCCTCAAATATGTTTTTACCAATTAAAAGACTATTACAGAGAGCGAAAAGGAAAAGAAGAAGCAGACACAAACAAGAGGGAAAAAAGATGTAGCAATGCGAGCATTAGCCTGAGATCAAGCATTATTTAGTCCCCAAATCCCTTATTTGAAATCTCTGCCAATACAATAACTAAGTCCTTATCCCCATTATATAGGAGGGAATGGGCCACAGAATGGATGCTAAGAATAGCAAAATGAAGCCTACGCCTATTTTCTGTTTTTCTTTGGTATCAGTTCCCAAAGCAACAGGCTGTTTACGTTGCATTGTTGAACACTCAAAAACACTACAGGAAAGAGGGGAAAGAAGCAATAAAGCAAAGCAAACCTGACCAAGACTAGCAGCTGCAATTGGCATTTCCTCAAACTCCTTAAATATCATACGAACTGGAGCTCCAAGTTCCTTTTCGATGAATTCCTTCGCTTTCTTTGACGGAAATGCGGGAACTCTATCCTGAATTATATGGCACGATTTTTAAGCAACTTTAGTTAAAAGGGATCACACATACTAAGAGAGACAAAGCTTAGCAACTATTATATGAGCAAGAATGCATAACCCAAGAGTAGACCTGCAACTTGGCAAGCTCATCCACAAACTCTCGGGGAAACAGATCGGATCTTGTCGAGGACAACTGCCCAAGTTTAATAAATGTAGGTCCAAGTTGCAACACACATTCTCGTAACCATGAAGCAGTTTTGCGTCTTCTTGCTTTCTGAAATTAAAAGTTACAAGCAGGAACCATCATTAACAAAAATTGTAAGCAATCAAGACAACTGATAGAGAACGTCGTTCAACTAAGTCTTAATGAAAGAGCAGTCAGAATAATCATACAACTCAGATCAGAAAGATAGAACAAGTAGCAGTAACCAGGCCGTGTGAATCACCTGCTTTTCTTCCGTAAAGCCTCCTGGATAAGCCCACTTAGCATTGTCAAAGAGAACCCGGACACGCAATGAGAGAACAAAAGACCAAACATCGATGGTTCTTTGCCAAGAATTATAATTTTCCCTTGACCAACTGAAGCCTTCATCTGAAGGCAAAACCCTTGGATTTTCAAGAGGAGGGAGCTCAACTGATTTGGACACCTGAATAATGGGTGGGGGAGAATTTCTCTTCACTAAGGTTGCTCGATTCCCAGTAACTGATCCATTCACAGCCATTCTTGAACCATTCACTGCATGGTCCACGGATGGTTCATTTTTCTTTACACCTGCTCCACTACTTAAACTTTTTGAACCATTTACTGCACCATTATTATTTACCAATGGTGTCTTTCTCTTTGCTACTTCACTTGCAGGTACCATTGTAATAGGCCTACCATTGGTACCTAAATCTACACGGACCTCCTTTTGTTGCATGATAACTTGATGCCAACAGCTCTTTTTAGCTTTCGATATATTGGACGAACCTGTTTCTATGTTCCATGAACTCCATACAGATAAAGAATCTAAGAATCCAAGATCTTGTCTTGAGCTTCGAAGGTTTAATTTGTCTTCAGTGCGGCAATAGCAGCTCTGACAAGCCAATATTGCCGCCATACCAAAAGATCAACCTGAAGAAGAATTAAAAGAGTATGAAGTTCTGTATATGCCTCACCTATAGAGTATGTTTGCACACATGAACAACAAAAGGAATAATGAAAGCTTGACTGGCAAATGCAAAGGAACAAGAAAACTACAAAAGAACAAACATATTGAGAAAAATAAGAAAACTGTATGCACAAATCCGAAAACAAGTTCAAAATGAATTTGATTGTTACACTGGAACTAAGATGGCCTGGTAAATATTCATAGTCATCAGAATAAGGTAAAAAAAAAGAAATAAAAAAAAAAAACCTACAAGTATGGTTCTGCAGCGAATCCAGAAAATATTAATCCTACAAATTTATTTTGAGATCCAACCAGCCTAATTTTCATTGCAGAAGCATTGCAGCCATCCAAGAAATGATGAAAACAAAAGGGAAAGTGAAATAGAAAAACCATGTAACTCATGATGAGACGATCAAGAATGCAAAATTAAATTCCAATACCACTATTTTAAAAGACAAAACAGGCAGAATGGAGGAAAACACAAATACGCACAGCACTCTAAAGCAACTGGGAGCAACACTATTGTTTGGCTGCATCAAAGAAGAAACAAGATTTCTCAAATAATGCTTACCCTCAAATGAGTGGTAAGAGATCGAATTCTATCACTCTCAGATTGATACTACCAAAACTCCAACAGCAATTTAACGAAATCCCAATACAGAAGGAACAAAATTATGGAAGATATTTGGAGGGTTCTGATTGGAAATTGAAGTTCAAGATCAATTCACTTACAAAATCGAAAAAGGGCTCTCTCTCTCTCTCTCTCTCTCTCTCTCGTTCTGAAATGGAGCGCAATTTTGATACTTCAACACTCAAACCAGTCAATTCCCTCCTCCTCTCTACTTTCCTGAAAAATATTCCAAGAGTGATGGTGAAGCAAATGAAATAAAAAGGGCACCAAACAAACAAACCAAATGAACAATTTGAAACGTGCAAACTTGGTACAACCTTACTAACCGATTATTATCACTCTGTTTGTCTGAACTCTCTGTCTCTCAGAGTCTGTGAACTTCGTTTAATCAATTTCTCCGTTTTCTTTAGTTGAGAGGTTTAAGCAACAATAACATGGGGTCATCCCAGTTGACGACAAAATCGAAAATGTTTGTTTTCCAAGTTTCAACGGACACCACAGCATTATTGGTGTGGAAAATTGTCTATTTATAGAAAGTGGGCTGATTCTTTTTTTTTTTTTTTTCTCCGTGGTGGAAGACTGGAAAAGATGGGATGTTTCGGTAGGAAAATTAAGGTTTCAATCCTTGCTGGTGGAAAACATGAACACGTGACATTGATAGAAACCACTGGAGTTCGTTAAGATTTTTTTTTTTTTGGAGGGAATAATTTGGGCCAACACAATGTGGGTCAAATTACCAATTTCATTGGCATAATATAATTTGGGCTGGCATGTGGATAGGTGGAACATTTTTCATTATTTTCGGTTACATTGGGCAGGAAAACAAAACGTAAATTGTTAATGTGCCCATCACTTAGTCAAATTCAATTGAGTTGTTTGTAAATAAATATTTTGATAACAAGATTTAGGAACAGCAGAGAATTATAATCCGCCTTAATATTCGCTTCTCTATAGATATGAATAAAGTCATATTGATCATCGAGCTCTATTCAAAAGAGTATGTCATAATATTTGTTTTTTTTATGATAATATGGACTAAGTTCTACTTAAAAAAATCGCATTTCCTTAACAGAGCTTAATATGACTCTATAGAATAATGCACACTAGCCATCATTGTCAGTGTGGACTTTGTCCTAAAACTCTCTTCATGAGTTAATGACAAACCCTTCACGGTGGCGCAAGCCATTGGGAATTTGGCAACTCAACACTAAAACATAGAAGAATACAAAGAAACACACTAAATAAACTTTGGGTAGAATCTTAACACAAAAATCTCATGTTGCTAGCACTTTGCTTTCACTAGTGGGAGGAATTAATTCACGACACAATTAGGCGTATCTTTTTGGCACAAGGCAAAGAGGGTTCTTTTTATGCATGATTAATCCTGGCAATGTATCTGAATCGATGTCTTCTATTCTCATCCCATGAGGCAACTCCCAATCAAAAGAGTAAAGAAGGTTGAAAAGTGTAACTTTCACAATCAATAGCCCAAGGGAGCTTCCGGGGCAACCCCTCCTACCCGACCCGAATGGAATAACTTCAAAATCATTTCCTCTAATATCAATGTTACTGTTCAAAAATCTCTCTGGAACAAAATCCTCTGAATTTATCCAACTTTCAGGGTCTCTAGAAATCGCCCATTCATTGATGAAAACCATAGTATTGGCTTCAATGTCATATCCATGTATCCTACAACTTTCCATAGTTTGTCTTGGCAGAATGGCAGCTGGGGGGTACAACCTGAAAGTTTCTTTTATTATTGCATCTAAATAAGGAACTTGTTGGTCCCCTATCTTTCCACTTTTTCCAACGAAATCCCTGATTTCTGCTTGTGCCCTTTTCATCACCGTAGGTGCTCGCATTAGGGCCATCATAGCCCATACAATTGCAGCTGAACTTGTGTCTGTTCCTCCTACGAAGATATCCTGTAAAACGAAAGAAGAATCTGTCAGTGAATGTCCAATTCGACTTTTCACTTTTAGTACAATTACACAAATTTTTGAACATCAGTTTTTTTTTTTTTTTTTGGTATAAAGTAACTTCTATATTTCAAACTCTTGCTAAACAAAGAGCAAACAACATGTCTAGCTAGGCTAAAAATAAAGATTGGTTTTAGATTTCAGCTTAAAGGAATAATTTGTTTATCCCAAAATGATTGTCTTATTTAAATTTTCACTTTTAGTTCGAATCTAAAAGTAAAAGTAAAAGTACAAACTTGACCAATATCGTTTCAGTACGGAGGTAATATGGATTAAGAAAAATTACCGTGATAATTGCTTTGATGTGATCCCAAGTAAGATCAAAGGCTGATGATTGGTTGTGCTTTATCTGGATCAAAATATCAAGCAAATCATCATTCATGGCATCTGCCCTGTTTGGATCCAAATGGTCTTCAATGAGTTCTTCATAGAACAAATCCAATTCCTTGAAATTCTTCTCAAGACGATCAAACTTCCCTAAAACCTTGTCAATCCATCTCAACGAAGGAAGATAATCACACAAAAAATACCCTCCAACATGGAACTCGGATTCCCGCAACATCCGATCAAAACTCTTCTTCTTGTGATCCTCTTTATCATACTTTTTCCCAAAAGCAAACCGACAGATCAAAGTGCTTGTCAAATACATTGCCATTGAACTCAAGTTGACAACCGAATTCGAAGCAGAAAGATCCGAAATCTCCTCAATCAAGAGGGAAACTTCATCATCAAGAATGGGTCGAAACGATTGAAGTGTTTTTGAGTTTAAGAGATGAACTACTTTGATCTTTTTCATCTCTCTCCAATACTCACCAAAAGGTGAGAATGCGACATCTTTGCCATCATAGGACAACTTCTGATTGCCAACAAGTTTTGGCCTCACTGAAAACGTGAGATCATGGGTTTTGAGCGCTTCTTTCGCGATTTTCCCCGAAGAAATCACAACAACTGGTACTTTTCCAAGTTTTAATGACATCAAGGGGCCATGTTTGTTGGAAAGCTGCCTCAGGAACTCATGAGGCTTTGCACCATCAAACTGATGCAAGTTGCCGAGCAATGGCAGCCCCGGAGGACCTGGTGGCCGGCGAATCTTTTTTGGGTTTTTGTGGTTTTTCGAATAATGATGGAAGATACAAACCAGGAGGAGGAGGAGGAGGAAGAAAGGGAACCAGGCTGCCATTTTTCATTCTCTGTTGAGACAGACCAGCTGATCGCTTTTTGATTTATATAATATGCTGGTCAGAAAGTTTTTTTTCTGCAAAAAAAAAAAAAAAAAAGTCCATATTGAGTTTTCAAATTTATACTAAAAACGGTACAAAACTCAATGTGGACTATTTTTGTGGGATGGAGGGAGTACAATTTTATATACCTAACTGTTTTAGTACAAGAAGAACGCAATATAAAAATGAGATTCAACAATTTTTACCACCAAACTGGATCATGTATCCTTGTACGTATATCTAATTTTGAATTACTAATACTATGATGATTTTTAATTTTTAGTTCTTTTACTAATACTAATGTCACTATTAAAAAATAAGTATATCATTTTTTTTTATTTCCTAATTATTTCGGGTGTTTGTTCCTTGCATTTGTCCAAAGTAAACTTTTTCATAATCACAACCATAGGGGAAAGTAAACTTTTTCATAATCACTACCATAGGGGAAAAAAAAAAGGACCTTTATGTTGTCAACATTTCTTTATCTTCTTTTTTTTTTCTCTTGTTTCATCATCCCAAGAGTGAGTAATTTTGAACCACGGTTTGGGTCGAACCGATTTGAACTGAAATCGATTCGAAATTTAATTTCGGTTCAGATCAATGATTTTAAAAGGTGGAATGGTTCGAATAGTTCGAGTCAAAGGAATATCCAAAGTGAACCGAATTAATCTAAAACAAAAAAAAAATAATTAAATTTTAATAATTTCTTCGTTGACCGCCACCAGCAACAACTTCCAACGAGAATTCCGGCAGATTTGCCGAAAAATTAATTTTTTTCGACAAAAGGTGACCGGCGCCGACGTGATGACGTCATCATTACCACAGGCGGAGGGAGAGGTGGGCCAGCCAGTGCGGCCGCGCCGGTTTCGATTTTAGTTTTTTTAAGAAGTTATAAATTATTAAGTTGAAAAAAAAATTAAAATGAAATTTTCGCACCCCCTTCTAAAATATTTTGAATGATACAAGATAAAAAAAAAAACACTTTTTGTGGTGAATATATTGTATCTATGTTATACTGTATCTCTTTTGTCAATACAAAGTTAACATAGAAAAGGTTGCCAAAAACTTTTTTTTTTTCTTTTTTACTGGTTTGATTTTTAAATAACTAGGAAGAAGATGATAATTACTGTTTTTGGATTTAGTCTTCTATTGAAAAAATTGATAACAAAAATGGTAATTAACTTAAGTTCAAAACCAATAAAAAGCTTATATAATTGTATCTCAATTTATATAGTTTTATAACTTGGCTCAACTTTCTTTTTATTTCTTTTTTTTCCATAAAATGTATCACATTTGCTCGTTGAGTGCTCGAGAAAAATTAATTTGTCAAATTTAAAATTTCCTCCTACAGTGTCCCATTGATGACAAAAAAATGTGTATTTACAAATACTTTTTTTTCTTCACATTGTAAAAACATATGATTGAAATTGAACACTAGGAATTAATATAAAATATAGTAAATTTTAGTGCCATTTTAATGGTATAATAGTTGCAAAAGATGTATAAAATATTAACAAAACGAAACTCATTAAATTGGTGTAGGTTTTTTGAATGAGGAAAAAATAATATTTTAATAAATTCTAATACTTAATACTTTTTTAGTATTTAATACACTTGTTTCGATAATTTTGTTTCGCACCCCTATGATGCACTTCTAGCTCCACCATTGGTCAATATTTTTGATGACATCACGGGCGCAATGGTTCGTTTTGGGTCAATTCGGTTCAGAATCAAAACTTAACCTGAATCGATTCGAATAGAACTATTGGTGATCCAAAAAAAAAATTATCCATTTCTAAATCGATCCAAACTAACGGTTTGTTTCGGGTCAGTTTTCTGCAAATGAACCGCCCTAATCATCGAATGTAAATGTCGTTAGCATACTTATATCATTCTTTACAAGTTTCATAAAAACATTATTATAAAATATATTATCGGTATTCAAAATTGGGTTGCTTGACTCTTCTACCGTTCTACGTACGTCAATAATGCATGCTTCAATAATGGATCTATTAATTATTTGACTCCTTCCCGTCTTGTTTGACTAGCTTTTAGTTCTACTTTGTTATAGTATTATTTTAGTGTTACAAATTTTTATTTTATTTTATTTTTTCAATGAGAGGAGTACTATGATTGATTTGTTTGATATGGCATAATGCAGTTGCGGCGTAAATCATTTAATAGTGCTCTCTTTCATGATGCTACGTAGTACGTAGGTAAAGGTTTTCACTTTTCCGAAGATATTCGTGTTCCAAAAAAAAATAAAAAAATAAAAAATGGATGATTATGATGGCATGCAATTGAGCAATGGCCCAGTAATTAATTCGTGAACAGTTTTCTTCGATGATTCAGTTGTGTACATTCGTTCATTCAACGTTATGAAGTTTGAATGATATTAATAGAGTGAAATCATAACAATTTTAAATTTTTGACATCAACGATGGACAACTTTCCTTACAATATGAAACAAGTTCGACATTTTAATAATCTGACCGATTAAAATGTCAATGAAAATGTATCTTCACATTCATTTTAAAGGGGGAAGAACTAGGGCTGTTCTTTTGGAGAAATCCAATCCAAACCGAACTGATCTGAACCGCTATTTTGGTTCGGTTCGGAAACGGGTCAATTTCTTTTGGATCACAAATGGTTTCGATTCGGTTTGGATTACAGATTTAAACTGAATTGACCCGAAATGAACTATTTTGCTAGTGATGATGTCATCAAAAGTGATGATGATATCATCATGCCGGAGACGGTCACCGGCGGCCGGAAAAAAATAAATTTCCGGCAAAGTCGCCGGAAAATTGGCCGGAAGTTGTCGCCGGCGGCAACCTGCGCCGGTGGTCAAAGGTGGTAACGGCGGTCAACGACGTCATTATTAAAATGTAATTATTTATTTTTTGGTTTTGGATTTTTTCGGTTCAATTTAGATATTCTTTTGACCCGAACCGTTCTAATTTTTAAAATCTTCAATCCGAACCGAAATGAGAATTTTGATTCGGTTTCGGTTCGGGTCGGTTCGGATCATCGGGTCGACCCAAACCGTGATTTAAAATGACCAGCCCTAAGAAGAACTATTGTTAACACCGATTTTAAATAAAATCGTGTCGGCCCAACAAAAATTATGAATCTGTCTTAAATTTTTTAATCTGTCCGTTGACATTTTCGGTCTGTCCGTTGACATTTTTTAATCTGTCTGTTGATATTTTCGGTCTCCTATTTTAACCTGTCTTAAATTTTATTTAGTAACTTATTGTGATTGAAAATGAAATCTTAAAAATGTATCTTCACATTCATTATGTTGTTTCAATTATTATAAAATATTTTTAAAGTTTAATTTTTTAATTTAAACAACATAATAAATAAAATTTAAGACAAATCGATATACCTAATGATAAGGTATGGGAGAGGATCAGTTGCGAGTTATAGGGCTCCAGCTCATAAACACAATGTCAATGAAAAATAGGAGACCCAAAAATTGCAAAGGAAAGAACTATTGTTAACATCGATTTTAAATAAAATCGTGTCGATCCAACAAAAGTTATGAATCAACCTAATTTGCTTGTCACAAGGAGTCCACAGCCGAATCGGAAAAAGTAGATGCGTCGAAAGCCCAACCCGACGCGGACAAAATCGAATCCAAATCAGAGGAGAAGTCCAATTGTGTCAGAAAAAAGGAATCGAAAATAGAAATCAATTACAATTCTAAATCGGCAATACCTAATTCAACTAGGAACCGGAGATCGCACCGACTCAAGCGATAATCGAGGCCTATATATATATATATATATATATATATATATATATATATATATATATAGAGAGAGAGAGAGAGAGAGAGAGAGAGAGAGAGAGAGAGAGAGAGAGAGAGAGAGAGAGAGAGAGAGAGAGAGAGAGAGAGAGAGAGAGAGAGAGAGAGGGCAACGCAGAAGACACAACTCATCATCAACACAGACAAATCACAAACTGCAAAACTCTTTATCTTTTTTTTTACTTTTCTAGCACCCTATTATTCTTTTCAACACTTTTGCAAGTCTTTTAATTCGATTTACTTTTTGTAATTCGTTTTATTCATCAATTTACAAGCAATTCAGTCTTTATTCAAGTTTATTACAAGTTTTACACCATTTTTTCTTTATACTTAACCGAATATCGCATCTCGCGAATTACACACTTTTGCCTGAAATTGGATCGGCACGATTTTATTTAAAATCGATGTCGATCCAACAAAAGTTATGAATCGGCCTAATTTGCTTGTCGCAAGGAGTCCACAGCCAAATCGAAAAAAGAAGATACGTCGAAAGCCCAACCCGACGGACAAAATCGAATCCAAATCAGAGGAGAAGTCCAATTGTGTCAGAAAAAAAAAGGAATCGAAAATAAAAGTCAATTACAATTCTAAATCGGTAATACCTAATTCAACTAGGAATCGGAGATCGCAGCGACTCAAGCGATAATCGAGACCTATATAAACAGAGAGAGAGAGAGAGAGAGATAGGGCAACGCAGAAGACACAACTTATCATCAACATAGACAAATCACAAACTGCAAAACTCTTTATTTTTTTCACTTTTCTAGCACCCTATTATTCTTTTCAACACTTTTGCAAGTCTTTCAATTCGATTTACTTTTTGTAATTCGTTTTATTCATTAATTTACAAGCAATTCAGTCTTTATTCAAATTTATTACAAATTTTACACCTTTTTTTCTTTATACCTAGCCGAATATCGCATCTCGCGAATTACATACTTTTGCCTGAAATTGGATCGACACGATTTTATTTAAAATCGATGTTGATCCAACAAAAGTTATGAATCCGGCCTAATTTGCTTGTCGCAAGGAGTCCGCAGCCGAATCGGAAAAAGAAGATGCGTCGAAAGCCCAACCCGACGCGGACAAAATCGAATCCAAATTAGAGGAGAAGTCCAATTGTGTCAGAAAAAAGGAATCGAAAATAAAAGTCAATTACAATTCTAAATCGGCAATACCTAATTCAACTAGGCAATACCTAATTCAACTAGGAATCGGAAATCACACCGACTCAAGCGATAATCGAGACCTATATAAAGAGAGAGAGAGATAGGGCAATGCAGAAGACACAACTCATCATCAATACAGACAAATCACAAGCTGCAAAACTCTTTATCTTTTTTTTTACTTTTCTAGCACCTTATTATTCTTTTCAACACTTTTGCAAGTCTTTCAATTCGATTTACTTTTTGTAATTCGTTTTATTCATCAATTTACAAGCAATTCAGTCTTTATTCAAGTTTATTACAAGTTATACACCCTTTTTTCTTTATACCTAACCGAATATCGTATCTTGCGAATTACACACTTTTGCCTGAATTTTTTGCAAGCGTAGTATGTCCGCACGAACAACTATTCTTCGGGAGTGGGGAGGGTTTTTAGTACTGTAATTCTAAGTCTAGGATATGCTTGTGAGGAAATGCTTAATGGCCATTGAGCTTGAACTTAGAATGAACAATATTGGCCAAAATTGTAGTAGTAGTAGTACTTACGGTTGTTATTGATTACAGAATGGAGCCCAAATATCAAAACTTCAGGTACCCGATTTTCAATTTAATAACATATATGTAATTAATTTTTTTTTTCCCACCGCATATTATCGCACTTCGCAAGGTAATCACTGTTGTTATCAATTAATTTTCTCCACTCAGTATGTGAAATAGTTTACTAAAAATATAAATAAATACTTTCTTTTATAGTGTTACCTTACATACACACCTGGTATCCATAACTATCTTTACTAACCCGATTCGATAGAGAAAATCTTCCATACATCTGTTGTATTAATAATATTATGCAGCCAGACACATAAAAAAAGCCAAGATTGTAATTTTACCGGAAAGTTACTATAAAATTAGGGGACTATAATATTTTCCTCTATAATGAGTGTGTTTGTTGCACTAAAAAACGGGATGCACTTGTTGTATGTAATAATCAAGCACATGTATATTTTTTTATTTTTTTTTCCATCTAATGTAGGTTTTGGAGACGAGACAAAATCAAGAAGAACCGTCTCTTTGTGACTGTTCTCCACCTCAACTATAGGATACCATCAAAACCAACCTACAACTTGTAATTTCTCCAAACTTTATATGGCAATTTATTAACATACTACTAAACTCTGATCAATATGATGTACGTGATCATGCATGCCTTCTCTTTTATATAGACGAAAAAGTACAAGGGAAAAAAAAAAACCTACCAAAGTATACTTCCACTCATAGCTTTAACAACAGTTATCATAGGCCGGGATTTGTATACATAGATGGAATCAAGAGGAGGTTGTTTTTCCTTGCAGCGGTTATTCCGTGTGTCTCAGTCATGTCTAAATCGCTATTCTCAACGCCATCTGGAAGTTTCCAATCAAAGAAGTACAACAGATTAGCTAATGGAACTTCAATATTAGCTAAACCAAATGAGATTCCGGGGCAACTCCTCCTCCCAGCACCAAACGGTATGTATTCATGATTCGTTCCATTGAAGTCAACGGAGTGATTCTCAAACCTCTCGGGCCTAAAACTTTCCGGGTCATCCCAGGCCTCGGGATCCCTCCCGATGGCCCACGCGTTGACCAAGACTCTAGTTTTCGGAGGGATAATATATCCGTCAATTTCACATTGCTCCCTGCTTTCTCTAGGTATCAAGAGAGGAAGCGGAGGATGAAGTCGTAAAGTTTCTTTTATCACTAATTTCAAGTAACTGAAACTTTGAATATCAGCTTCTTCAATTATTTCCTTTCGCATCAACGACGATTTTCTTATTTCATTCTGTGCCTTTGCTAATATGTCGGGATGTTTCATCATCTCCGACATTGCCCATTCTACCGCGGTGGCCGAAGTTTCCACTCCTCCGGTGAACATATCCTGCAAAATCAATTAATCCATCAATAATAACAGTTTTATGTCAATTCAAGAAAATCCCAAAAATAAGATGAGAAATGAATTAATAACAAACATATAAAATAATTACCAGCAAAACGGCTTTGATGTTTGTGTTGGTGATCGGAAAAGGAAGGTCACCACTTTGTTTGTTCCTGAGTAGAACATCAATCAGATCCTCTTGCCCGAACTCGCCGTTCCGGCCAGTCGGGTTCTCGGCGTGCTCCCGGATTATGATATCAAGGATCTCATCCATCTTCCGGTGCAGTTCCAGCAACTTGGGCTTCATCCGGCTGAGATGATGGAGAATTTTCAGCGATGGAAAAAGATCGGAAACGTCAAACCCGCTCGTCAACAGTAAAGCTTCCTTTATCAGCTCCAACAATATGTCCCGATGCACTCCAAATGTTCGACCGAATGCCGCTCTGCAGACCATTGAACTGGTGTACGAGGAAGTTTTCTGCGTGAAATTTATTATAACACCACCTGATTTTTTCCCAATTCTCGCCTCCTCCTGAATCGACGAAACGAGGCGAAACGCCTCGTCTTGTCGAATCGAACCGAGGGATCGTACATTTCTGGTGCTCAGGAGTTCCAAACTGCATATTTTACGCATCTGTCTCCAGTAATCGCCGTAAGGGCAAAACCCGACGTCGGAATAATTGTACAATATGATCTTCCCAACCAGACACTCAAGCCTGTTTGCGAATGCGAGATCATGTGTTTTCATTATCGCCCTCGCCGTTCGAGGGGACGATACGACGATGGCCGGAATTTCTCCGAGCTGAAGGTGCATTAGATCTCCATGTTTCTGGGCTAAATTTCGGAGAGCTTGGTGAGGAAGTGAACCCATGAGATGATGGATACTCCCTATGATGGGGAGTTTCCATGGCCCTGGTGGCAGCTTTTTTGCTGCTATGTTCGCTGAATCTTTGGATCTCATCTTCCATTTCTTAATGAAATTCAAATTGGTTAAAAGGATTAAGAGGAAAAAAGGAATCAAGATCAGGCCCAGATTCACCATCATCATGGTTTGATTGATCATTGGTTTATGATCATGAAATAATATTGGTTCACCTTCAATATGTGAATTCCATAATAAATTATCCATACGTCTCGCGGTCTCGGTCCATGTTTATATATGGAATTAGAAGAGTATTCCCTCCATTTCAATTGAATAGAGAAAGAAGCGAGTGATATAGTTTAGAAAGTAACAGAGAATGAAAAAATATAGTAAAAACTCATAATAACTAACGTGTACATAATTACAGTAGTAAAAATATAATACTATTTGTATTAAAAAAAACAATACATCTCAGTCACTGTTATGTTTCACTACATGTTTATAACTATAAAAATATAATTTCCTATATCGTTTACGTGGTTAATTTTAATGTTAAATATACCTGATATATCCTTATTATAAGTAGTGTATTTTTAGTAAATGATTGACAGTAGTACACGAATTTAATTAAATGTTTTCTATTGTAGTAATGTTAATATGGGTATTAATATTAATATGGGTATACTAGAAAATCTAAAGATAAAATTTAATTATTATTCTAAGTGAGACTAAATTATGAAACTATAGAAAAGGTGTAGATCAAATTGAAATGGATGGACCTCTATTATTTTGAGAAGGATAAGTATATCAAATTCCTTTTGTTTCATCAGTCAATGATAAATAGCTGTCTGCCTCATTAATTAAATGAGGGTCGTTTTTTCTGATTGCTGTGAAATTATTGATTGATTAAGATTTAAGTCTAAATACTAATGACAATTGTTGATTGCTGCTTTGTCCGGTTCTAGGTAGCCACTTGGTATCTTTTGGTCATTTTCAATTTCTAGTATATATATATATATATATATATATATATATATATACTAGTGATGTCTGGTCGCGCATGCGACCCTGGCCCAATATATCTGTAGATCTTAGAAATATTTGTATCTGAAAAAAAAATATTTTGTATTTAGCCCGATATATTTTAGAAATATTTCAAGAATTTTAAAAATGTTTTATAAGTGTGATGTTTGTATTTGGCATAAAAATAAATTGTATTTGGCCCGGTACGTTTTAGAAATGTTTGAAGATTTTAGAAATATTTTATAAGTGTTACTTCTTAAATATAAAAAAAGTCCAAAAACCAAATCCAAAAAAGTATATTCTTGAAACCCCAAACACAAAAAAAAAAAAACGTACTTCATTTGTAAATAAAATAATAATAATAATAATAATAATAATAATAATAATAATAATAATAATAATAATAATTGGTCAACTGGGAGTATGAAACAAAATCAAAAGCAATTAAACAAAGAAAAAACACACTTCATAACTGGCCATATACAAAAAAATCCTGAGACTCCATAATTAAAAAAAGAAAACCACTCTAATTGAATGAAATATAAAAAACAAATTTAAAAAACCACACTTTATAACAAAAACCCAATCAATCAATTCAATCCAAACATAACTAAAATTATACAAAAATTCTAGACTAACTAACCAAATAAGAAATCATATCATACTACCTGACAACGGCTCCGGTAGCTGTAACGGATGGACGCATAAAAATAATAATAATAACACTATTCTTGAACGGAAAAAATAAAAAATAATAAAAGCCAAACTAATTATTTGTGAAAATAAAATCATTTAAATTTTACTACCTGTAATGGTACCACCACAACGGCCGAAGCAAGATCAATGAGATTTTTTTTTTCCTTTGTGTTTATATAGAGAGGTAAAGAGAATATTTTTTGAAATTAAATTTTATCCGATTAGGATGTAGTTGATCATCACTAATGAAAAGATTGAACATGCTAATAGGAAAGGAGTATATTTCACCACATATTCTCAATTGATGATTGATGAGGAATTTATTTTTTTTAATTGTGGAGAAGGGATTGATTAAGGAGTCGATTGTCGTGGCGATGTGGATGGGGATTTGGATTTTTTATAAACCCGTGGTTTTTTTTTTTTATTTGTTTTGACGAAAATAGGAGGTGGAAATAAATTTGGACTGCATTTGCCTTTTAAGTTTAGGAGATGTGGAATAAAAATTTATTTAAAAATATGATGTGGAAATGCCACATGGCAAATGATGGTGCTTTCTCTTAAGTGTGGTTTTTGTTTCTAATATAGTAAGATATATATATATATATATATATATATATATATATATATTCATATTTGCAGGGTGTCCACGTCGGCAACAGTGACTAATCCCTCTCGTTGAATTGTAAGCACCTTGTTGGGTGGGACAGCTGGCCAAAATATTTAAGGTTACTCTATACCCATAGCGAAGTTTGAACTATTGACATATAATTAAGTGTGGAGGAGTCCCTTCCACTCCACCACAACTACTTTGGTTGAAATGGAAAAACACAAAATCACATTAATTATCTATCTTGCTAATTTGATTAAGGGAAAAGATACTTAACTTAAATCAAATAACCCCGCCACTTGCATGCAATAGCTTGAAGAGGGACTAGAGCTAGCTAAATAGAGTAGATTTTTACAACTCCTCCTCATTAAGGTTTCCTTTTTGCCGCATAAAAAAGATTTCATGTGGAGAAAAATTTCAAAACTCACTGGAAAATTCAAATGGAAATTGATAGGATACAGTGGGGGGAAATGAAGAGGAGCTGAAGCATGAGATGGAACGATTGAAAAAAATGTTGCTCAGTGATATCAACAAAAAACGTAAATTGATAAGATTTAGCCTTGAAAGAGTACTCCCTCCTTGCGGTCCTTAATATAATTAGATATTTTTATTTTATTTTAGATTTTACTTAGTGCATATTTTTAATTGACGAAAAAATTTTAAAAATATTCCATAATAATCAAAAGAATGCAACGAATGTGAAATATATTTTTAATATTTTTTCGTCAATTAAAAATATGTACTAGGTTAAATCTATAACAAATCAAAATATCTTATATTAAGGACCGGAGGGAGTATTAGGAAAACAACTCTTATAACTTATTCACCAGACTTATTCTCTTTGTCCTGAAACAATATAGAACACATAGACTACAATAGACAGAACAATACAAGACAATATTATTTTAAAATGTGGAAGTATATGATTAATTATCAACACTAGTGGGTTAAATACCGATCAAAGTCAAATGAAGCACGAACGAGAAATTGGTTCAGTGATAACATTACGTTGTTCCAAGGGAGGTCCTGAGTTCAATCCCCCCACTCCAACAAAAAGTAAATGGTTGGCTCTCACTTTGCCTATTTTACTTATAAGGGCTTGTTATGGCTAACCCATTAATAAACCCTCGATTTTGTACCTGGGCATATTTAGGGTAGTTTACCTCTCATGCACCCGAGCTTGTCACCCTGGACATACCTAAGGTACTTTACTTCTCACTGTGATTTGCAGCCTATTGCAGTAGGCGTAGGTTTACATATCTCTGATGGGTTTCCGGCGTTATTAAAAAAAAAAAAAGTCAAATGAAGCACTTAATGCAATAGCAATAGCAACACGACTGTTGAAATGCATTAATTATCAAATATTGTACTCGTGTGTTAAATACCGATCAAAGTCAAATTGATGCACTTATAGCATTAGCAATAGCAACACGACTGTTGAAATGCATTATTGCCGTTAATTTTTGACGGCTTATTAATTTCGAAGAATCTGCTTGGATGGATTTTTTCTAATCAAAATGGCATTTCAAATACGGAACCTCATTCGGTACTTTATTTGGGGATTGCCTTAATTGAAAGAGAAGAATGCATTAATTAATCAACCATTTGATCATTCTTGATTTCTTGTATCCTTAAGGAGAAGAATGCCTTAAGTTGCTTACATATGGAAGACAATATCCTTACGAGATCGCGAATGCCTTTGACCAATAATGAACATTTCAGCACTCCTTCAATAATGGACATATAGTTCACGATGCCGTACTAAATCAAATTCCAGTTATGAAGTTAACATATAACTTGATAATGAATCTATGACAATGATGTTAATTAAGTCTAAAGTATTTAAGAACTCATGACAAAGTCAATAATGAGAACAAAAGATACAAATTGTAATAATTGAGACCAGTTTCTGATCACCTTGTTGTGTGCACTTTACGTTATACTAAGTTATTGAATTTAAATATGCGTATGCGCAAATAATTATAAGTGACAAGTAATATGACCATGGTTGGTTGTTGTAACCAATTTATTCAAAATGAAGAGGTACAATGTATTATATGCTAATTAGCTCAAGAGATTAATGTTAATTGTGAATTAACTTACTTAATTACTAACTTATTATAAGAATTCGCCACCGGCCACCAACCTCAATTTTGACTTGACCAATTTTACTATAGATATACGACTCTAGAGACATGCAATTAGTTCCATTCCTCGTACGTTTTCCTGTGTTTGCAAGTGTATGATATGACACCCTATATAAGGTTGTCCATCCTTCTGGCATTTTTCCTGTCTTCCCAAAAAAAAGAAAAAGAAAAATCAGTTCCAAATAAAACACATTCGAGTTGGACTTTCACAAAATGACTGAAAAAGTAAGAGACACATCATTTCAGAAGCGAAAAGCCAACTACAAGCCGAGCATTTGGAACTACGACTTTTTGTTACAATCCCTCACCAGCAAATACTCTGTAAGTTGTACAGAAATATGAAAAAAAAAAAAAAAAAACCCCTTTATTCTAATATTTTCAGTCAACTAAAAAAATCTTAAATGTTCGGTTTTTCGAATCATTTTGACCACAGTACTGATTAATTCAGTTTTATCCTTCTTTTGGTTAATTTCTTGACAGGAAGAAAAGTATACAACAAAAGCCAAGAAGCTAAAAGAGGACTTATCAATATTATTTGAGGATAAGAACAGTGATTATAGATTGTCAATTCTACGCCTTGTAGATAGCATAAGAAAACTAGGGTTGGCAAAATATTTCCAGGAAGAAATTAAAGGTTACCTCCTTAAAGCCTTATTGATAATCAGATTCCCAGAGATTTGCAGCTCTACTGCCAGCGTCGGGGAAGATGATGATCTTTATGTTACGGCACTTTGCTTTAGGCTTCTAAGACAATTTGGTTATAGAGCTCCCCAAGGTAATATACTCTATACAAATATCTTACTAGTCGACTCGATTGATAAAACTCTTTAATTTAACGCTAATCAAGGATAAAATGTAAATTTAGCATCAAAATTCGTCTCCCAATTGATACATATACGTAATCATCATGTACCATTTCACACATCTGACATGTACCCCAGATCAAATAGCGATTGGTCAGAATATGTTATTATTGTCTGCTGAGAATAACTATAACAATTTATCACCAAAAGGACTCTCAAATCTTAATTAAACCAAAAAAGATTTGTAACTAATTTATGTGTATAATATTGTGTTAATTTGTTTTAGCGTCCTCAGAAATATTCCAAGGATTCGTGAACGAGACCGGAAAATTCAAGACAAATACGGATTTTAATGAGGAGGAGTTAATGGAGCTGTTTGAAGCCTCGAATATGGGGTGTGAAGGGGAAAATATAATGGATGAGGCTAGATTTTTCTGCATCCAAAATCTTGAGGCAATGGATCATGTTCTTCCTACACAATGGACAGCGGAATGGTTCAATCTCAAGAAACAAATTTCCGCATATGAGAAAGAGTGCGACACAAGAAACCACAAGTTATCGGAGTTGGCTAGGCTTAATTTCAATATAATTCAAGCCGCACATCAGCAAGATCTCAAGGAAATATTAAGGTAAATTTTCAACTTACTCTAACAATTTTGACTTCAAAAACTTAACAGTATTACCAAAAAAAGTTTTCTCTCTCTTTTTTGTAATAAGAATTTATGAAATGATAAACCAAAATTCATGTAAAAACTATCAGTGTGTTTGTGCACTGAGTGACACCTAGATCACTGCCTTTCTTTAAAACATCAACTAAATCACTTCTCATATCTAAAACGACATCACTGACTAGGGTAGAAATTAATTTTCGAGTTGTGATTTTCTTAAAAGAAATTACTTAAGTTCCACTATGGGTTTTATCCTTTTGTGTAGGTGGTGGATGAATCTTGAGATAAGAAAAAAGTTAAGTTTTTCAAGAGATAGAATAGTAGAAAGTTTCCTATATGCAGGGGGAGTTGCATACGAGCCTCAGCATGGGAGTCTAAGAAAATGCCTCACCAAAGTCATCAAGTTGGTGTTAGTGATTGATGATCTTTTTGATGTTTATGGTTCCTTTGAACACTTACAATGCTTCACCAATTCCGTGAATAGGTAAACTCATTCATAATATTATAATCTCAATAATTGCATTAATTAGTACAAAACTGTAGAATCTCTTTTGTTCTTGTTTTTCCCTTTTTTTTTTTTTTTTGACTTTCCAATTTCATTCTGATTGGGGGTTCATGAAGTATTTTAAAAAGAATCTATGCATCCTTATTTTGCATTTCAAATTCAATTGATTTACTCATTTCATTCCAAAATGAATCATTTTTGTTCTATTTTGAATGGAACCTACGGGACGATCATTTTTTAACATAAGCAAGAACATTTTTTGCACCAAAAATATAAAGTTCTTGATTTGTACGTATAATATATATGATAGCTTAACTGTATTTTTCTTAGCTTACTTTTCTTTTTCTTTTTTTTTTCAAGGCACTTTTAAACTATATTTATAACTTACAACCTAAAAACCCAAAAAGAGAAAAAGCACAAAATCCAACATAAAAGTTATATACATTTAAGAACTGTTATTATAAGACACGATTAATAGAAATGATAAAAGACCAATTTACCTAATTATAATCTGTTTTATTCTTCTCCTTTTATATATAGTTGGATGCCTGAGGAAGTTGTTAACCTACCAGAGTGTATGCAACTGTGCTTTTGGACATTATATAACACAACCTCTGAAATATCCGTGGAGATTCAGAAGGAGAAAGGCTGGAATTCAGTGCTACCACATTTACAAAAAGCTGTAAGTTTTCTAATTTTTTTCTACCATGCCTTATTTCATTTTTCTTTTTTCCTTTTTTTTTTCTTGGCTTAAAGATCAATTTCTTTTCTTTTCAAATTTTCTTTTTTGTGTCTTACTATTTTTAGTGGGGAGAATTTTGTGAATCCTTACTATTGGAAGCAAAGTGGGATGAAGAGGGTTACACCCCATCACTTCAAGAATATTTAGAGAATGGCTTCATATCTTCATCCGGCCCTTTGGTTTCTCTCCACATAATTTTTGGAGTAGAAAATCCAACATCTTCCAAAACTCTCTCTGAAATTCTCCTTGAAAATAAGGACATCATCTACTATACTTCCCTAATTATACGTTTGTGCAACGATCAAGGAACTTCCACGGTAATACTCCCTCCATCCGTTAAAACGTTTTTCGCTTATTTTATTGTATTGTTTTAATTCAATAATAAAGTAGTTTATTTTTCAGAAACACAGAGAGTAAATCATGTTCCAAATGCCTTGTGTGTGTGTATGTGTGTGTGTTTTTTTTCCCTTATTATATGTATCACTATTCTATAACTGTGATTAATCTTTACGTTATTTACTTATTTTGATGAGTAATTTTTGTAGGAAGAACGAAAGAGAGGAGAGGCTCCCTCATCAATATTTTGTTGTATGAGCGAATCAAATGTAACCGAGGACATTGCAAGGGAGCATATCAAAAGTATAATAACAATGGCATGGAGGAAAATCAATGGCTATCATTGCATGTTTGGAGATGAACCTATCAAACACTACTTAACGAATGCAGCTAGAGTAGCCCATTTCATTTATCAACATGGAGATGGATTTAGAGTTCAAGATAGGGAGCGAGTTCTCTCCAACTTGATTGAACCTTTATAGTTATGATTTGAAGGTCTGTTTCATGATGTCTTAAAACTTTCAATTCAGAGATTATGTTTGTCGAAGAGTTTGTAAAATTTAAGTTAACTAGCTACTTAATCAGCTAATACGTATATATGTGTCCAAAATTTAAACTGCCATAGATCGGGAATCCAGAACCGTCGTGGATACTAATTTTTTCTATTCATATATTGTCAATAAGGGATGACAAAGAGGAAGAGATGTGGAAGAAGACAGGTACATGGATGCAACAAACGCAATTGTGAAACTACACACAATTAACCTTCCTTATTATTATCAATTTCTTGGATCTACTCAAATAGAAACTTTATTGTTCTTTTTGGTTTTATGGGTTTTGTGAGTTGATAGTACTGCAATTATGTGTGGAGCTCTGACTGTATCTGGTTGGGCTAGATTTTAAGAGCGGCAACCTTCCATTCCGAAAATATTTATACTTTTTTTTCTAGAAAAATGGCCTATTTTATGATTTTATCTGAATTCGAAGTGAACTATGTTTCTAACTAGAGATTATACTTTTTTTAGCAATGATAGGCATAATGACAAAATCTAGTGAATTTGTATAATGACTAATGAAAACACGTTTACACCATACTCATTATACATGTGATGATGTGAATTTAGTAATTAAGAGTAAAAATATAATTTAACGAGAAAAATAAAATTCTAACGAGAGAGTGGCAAAAAAATAAGGGGCATAATTTTCACATCAGTCACTATTTTTTGTCACTATTTTTTTTCACTATATATATCATTTTCCTACTTTTTAACATTAAGTAAGTTATCATAAAGTTCACTAGGTTATGGACCCGTGCATTCGCACGGGTACGTAAAAGACTACTTTTTTTTTTCTGTGATTTCAAATTATAACTTTATATCACTCATTAATCTTAATCAAGTTATAACATATAAAAATTCAAATTTTTGAGCCATAACTTTATTTCATAACATAAAATGATCAGAGTAAATTTAATTTTCTGATACTATTCATTTGAGTAGCTTTAAACTCAACTATGCTCTCTTAGATCTTGAACGTGTTTGTATCAAAACAATACTTTGTTCATGGAAATAGAACTTGTCAGCCATCTAAATATCTGATTGCGGCTTCTTTTTTCACTTAGACTTGAGCTTTAATCATCTTTGGAATTGCATTCCAATGAACACGCTTCAAAATTAAGAACTTTCAGTTCTATAACAAATAAATAAAGCAATCATGCAGTTGCTTGTCTAATTAAGAAGAAGTATTAGGTACGTAGGAATCAAAATGGAAAAATAATAAGTACCTTGTAATGTGATAGTGAAACTTTGTTGGACACTAATTTCTTTGATCTCATAACAGGCCGTTGCTTTTAGTTACGTTCTCATTTAAAGTTTTCAGGATTCAGAATCCACAGACCTCTGACGTTTTGACTTACACAAATTCAATAAAGGCTCTAATGACTCTCATTTGACAATTTCAGGAAAGATTATATAGATTAGACAATACCAAAATCCAGAGTAAAGAATGGTGAACTGCAAGTGCAGCAACATGTGAAAGAAATGAGGAGTTGGTAGTTTTATTTCTCCACTATATTAGGCTTCAATGGGTTGTATTGTGAAAAAAATTAATTTGGGAGAATATATAAAAAAAACCTTTTTTAGTTTAGTAATTTAGTAATTTATTTAGTAACTACAAAAAATAAATAAAAAGAGATTTTGACAAGTGGATACTTTGAAGGAGAGGCTGACATGTGGAATTTTGGGATGAAAGTGGTTTTTGCTATAATAAGAGTTACTAGGTTTTGGACTCGTGCGAAGGCACGGGTACATAATGTTTTTTTTTTCCCAATGTAAACAATTTTAACTGAATAAACAAAGTATCGAGGGCGTAATATGCTGTTTAGATGTGTCAAATAAACTACAGAATTATGTATTCTATCTGTCCTGGAATTATTATGTAGTTAGAATTCAATTTTTATAATACATTTTCTATCAAAACTAAAAATTCATAATTGCACGATCATTTTGCAACATAAAAGATTAAGAAAATAATTATTGCATAAATAAGATCGTAATTTTTTTTTTTTTTGGGTGTGGGGGTTAATGGAGTAGAAGATTCTAATCTACGAGGCTAAAAAAATGTACATTTGACTTATTTATTATACGAATCAAGAACCATACATAATATTGACAATATTCTTTTTTCATGAGCTCTGTAAAAAAGTAGTCTAAAGAATATCTAATAACAAAAAGGTTCTACCTTTAATACTTCTGCTATATCATTTACCATCACAATAGACTTACCAAAGAAGGCAATGTTTAAATACATCATGTGATATATTAAGAAAAAATAATTTAATTTTTTTCCTAATTACGAATCCTGAAAAAGAGACTCTTGCATTATTTTAATCACTTTATTGTTTTGAAACCAATTATCAGAATTATCATTCTCAACCAAAAGTATGACAACTTATGAAACCGTAAATCATTGCCTTTTACTGCTGTTCCTTGCACCGTAACCACCGTTTTCATTTTCTCATATGAGATTGATTTGCGTTTGCCTTTCTGGTGTTGCCAGCTTTGCCTACTTCTTCAAGTTTGAATTCATCTGCAAAATCACTCTTATTGAATTGGAATAAAATCAAACAAACTAAATTAAAGCAAATTTATTCGACTTTCTAAAGTAGTATATGTGTAATTAAGTAAAGGATTTACCTTTTTCAGGGAATGATCCCAAATTTCTGCATCATTGCCTCTGCTTCACTGAAAAGAATTTTGCAAATATGAACATGAGGAAAAAAAAAAAAACTGATTCAATTCCCTTATTAATATGAACGTGGAGAGCATTGGTTTTTGAACTGAAAGTTAATTGTTAATTTGGAATAGGGATTTAGTTTTGGAATATATGATTTGAAAAAAAAAAATGAAGAAAAAGATGGAGTTTAACGTTGGTTTTGTCTTTGTTATAATTAGTAAGGAATTAGGGGGGAGAATTTTAGGGATATCTTAACATGTGAAATTTTGGGTAAAACTTGGTTTTTGCTATAATGGGGTTTATAGATTATTATTATTATTATTATAGATAGATATCAAAGGATTAAGTTAGTTCTTATAAATAGATCCATTAAATGGAGAGTAAAAAGTAAAATAAAATATGAGAACGCGTAGTAGTCGTGTATATGATGTGTGTATATAAACAATTGCTTTTTTCCAATAGAAAATATAAAACAAAAAAAAAAAAGAACATGACACTTTCAAAGTTTTAAAAGTCTTCAAAAAAAAAAACAAAAAAACTAATGTCTTCAAGTCAAGTCAACCCTACCATGTATTGTTTCCCTTCAATTTCCTTCCTCTTGCCACACACACACAAACACAACAGGCACAGAAATGGAGAAATGGTAAAAAATAGAGCTATGTGAGCATGAAGAAGTGTTACTTGAAACCAAATTAGAATGGCAGATGGTGCTGTAAACTACCTTTTGGATAAACTAACCACAATTCTGCTGCAAAATGCATCATTCCTTGGGGATGCTCAAAATGAAATTGAGAAAATCAAGCTTGAGCTTGAGAGCATGAAATCCTTCTTAAGAGAGGCAGAGCTGAGAAGGGAAAAGAGTGAATCTGTGGAAACATGGGTTAGGCAAGTCAGAGAAGTGGCAATTCAAGTTGAGAATATTCTTGATGAAATCATTCATTACAGTGATAGTAGTACAAATGGAGCTGGAGGAGGTAAAGGTGTACTCAAGGATTTTGTTCATGAAGCTGTGAATCTTGCAAGGAGATTAGCCGCGACACGGCGAATATATTTGAAGTTACAAGGCATCAAGGCCAAGGTTGTTGAAGTTTCAGAAAGGAGCAAGAGATATGCTTTTGATGCCAGAGTAGATGATGACTGGGGAAGCATCCGTTTGGCTATCAACTGGCAGCCGCAGCAGCATCAGCAACTTGGAGAATTGTCGAGTTTCGTCGATGTTGATGATGTTGTGGGAATGGATGAGGATCAAGAAATATTATCAAAGTGGTTGATTGAAAATGACACTAGGAGGACTGTTGTATCAGTTGTTGGGATGGGTGGTCTTGGAAAAACGACCCTTGTGACAAAAGTTTTCAATGATCAGCTCATAAAGTTGCATTTTGATTCTTCTGCGTGGATATCGGTGTCCCAAAATCATGAAGTTGAAGATCTGCTGCGAACCATGTTGAAAGAGTTCTTGAAAACAGAACAAGCAATGAGTCCAGGCAACCTTGGATCCATGAAATATAGGCAGCTGATGGAAATGCTCCTTGAATACCTGCGTTGTAGGCGGTATTTAGTCGTGCTCGATGATGTTTGGAGCATAGATTTGTGGAGTAGGATTCGGGGTGCATTTCCAGAGAATCAAAATGGAAGCAGGATTGTTTTCACTACCAGAAATCAGAATGTGGCAACCTCCGTTGGACCTGGAAGTCGTGTCCATCGTCTTCAACCTCTGCAGGAGCGTGATGCCTGGACCCTTTTCCGCAAAAGAACATTTTGGAATGAGCATGAGCACAACTGCCCTGCAGAACTTGAACCATTGGCAAAAGATATATTGAGAAAGTGTGAGGGATTGCCTCTGGCAATCGTTGCGATTGCTGGACTAATGTGTTCGAAAAGCAGACTAGCAATCGAGTGGAAGAGGGTTCATGCCAGCCTGAATTGGCAGCTGAGCTACAATCCAATCCTCGGAAGAGTGAAAGGTATCTTGATGTTGAGTTTCGATGACTTACCCTTCTACCTTAAATACTGTTTCTTGTACTGTTGTGTTTTCCCTGATGATTGCTTTATCAAAAGAAAGAAGCTGATTCGGCTGTGGATTGCTGAGGGATTTATCCTCGAAAGAAAAGGGATGACTTTGGAGGAGGTAGCTGAGGATCACCTCATGGAACTGATCCTCAGGAGCATGATTCAAGTTCAACAGGTTAATGACAATGGAAGGGTGAAGACTTTCCACATCCATGATGTGATGCGTGAGCTAGCGATGACGACCTCAGAAAAGGACAATTTCTGCGGAAGGCTTGACATCCGTGAGTCCAAAGTTGCTAGAAGTGTTCAGCATTTATCAATCGACAGCAGAAATGGAAGTGTTCAAATGAGCAAGTCGACAGCTTGCCAGCTGCGGTCCCTCTTTGTTTTTGGATCAGATATGTGCACATCCTTCTCTTTAAATGCTGTATCACCAGACTTTAAGTTCTTAAGAACCCTAGATTTACAATGTATTCCTATCGAAAAGTTGCCAAACAGATTGTTTGATCTTTTCAATTTAAGGTTCTTGAACCTGCGGAATACAAAGGTTAAAGATCTTCCAAATAGTATAGGCAAGCTGAAAAACCTGCAGACTTTGGATATCCGGAGCACCAATGTGGAGAAGCTCCCAAGAAGCATACCCAACTTGGGAAATTTGAGACATCTATTTCTTGGTAAAAGCAAGACCGATGATTCAAGGGCTCCCGAACTCCTCCAAGCCTTGCGCGCACCTGCAAGAATGGGAAACTTGCAAAACCTGCAAAGCCTTGCTTGTGTAGAAGCAGAAGAAGGGCTAATCAAACAACTAGGATGTCTTACAGAACTGAGAAGGTTAGACATGACAAAAGTGAAACCATGTCATGGTCCTAAACTCTGCAGTTCAATAGGAATGCTGACAAACCTTCACAGGCTGAGTCTTGCAGCCAGCAATCAGGAACAAGAACTTTCATTGGAAGACTTGATTTCAGCCCCTCCATTCCTTCAGAAGCTGGAATTGTTCGGTCGCTTAGATAGGCTACCTCATTGGTTAGCATCGGCGCAAACTTTGACACATTTGGATTTGGAGTTCTCCGGTCTGCAAGATGACTTCCTTCCTGCTCTCCACAAATTGCCAGCACTGGTGTTTCTTCAACTCAGGGAAGCCTACAATGGTAAGATCTTAAAGTTTAGGAGAGGCGGTTTTTTAAAACTCCTGAAGTTGCATTTAATTGAACTCTCACAGTTAGATTGTCTGGAAGTAGAAGAGGGATCATTGTCAAGCCTGAAAGAACTGTCTATAGTTCATTGTGTAGCATTGAAGCAAGTACCACAAGGACTTGAACACATTTCCAGCTTACAAAAGCTGCGTCTGGAGGAAATGCCAGAACTGATTGTAAGTTTACAAACTAATGTAAGTGAGTATCGCGAAGAAGTGCAGCACATTAGTACAGTCGATCTTGTTCTTTAGCGAATGGAAATCGAGCATTTGTAATCTATAGGTGCTGCTACATTCTAGTTTCAATTCTTTTTTGTATTCGCGGCGGATCGTAGAATAAAGCGTATGATAACAACAAACAACAAGGCAGTTTTTCTGAGCCATTAATGTGCACTGTAGTAGACAATGTGCTAATCATCCATCTTCATATGAGAAAAAAACTTCTCAAGATAACTTCTTATGTTCTTCACGCAGTCATTTTGATTGTCTAGTTTCGAGAAAATCAACTAGTTGCCATAACCGAAGTCATTCATAGATTAATAGAACTGGAAACTAAATTGGCAGATTGATTTGTGAAAATTTAAGGGGACATCAATGCTGATAAGCTCAGAACATAAGCTCTCTCTGAAGATTGATCTTCATCAATAGTTTCAAGTGATCTTGATGCATCCTTGAATTTTCAGCCTGAGCAGAGTTTGGAAACGAAACACAATTTTCAAGCGAATGTTGGGAAGATTAGTAATTGCTTCGCTTGGGAAAGTTAAAAAGGGAATAGAGAATCAAAGCAAGTGTACCACACTACACATGTAAGAACAACCCATTTGGTTGTTACCATTCAATCGAATCCTATTCAATTCTTTTTTTTTTTTTTTGGTACAAAGATGGAGGCATAGCCTACTTCTAGTCTATTACAATCCGGGAGTACGAAATTCCCATTATATCATGCAAAAGCCAAGATTTCACAAAAGGGGGGGATCCACAAAAGTCATATGACCCCATACACCGGTTGCATTACCTGCCAAGCAGTCAGCCGAGAAGTTAGCTTCTCTGTATATATGCCGAAATTTTACCCTCCAATCTCTTTGTAGAAGTTCTCTGATTCCCATGATGATCCCATCGTGTGCCGATCCGATCAGTTTCATCCGTGTTATCAACTGGAAGGTAGCCAAACTGTCTACTTCCAACAATAAACTTCGGTGGCCTAGTTCCCAACCTAGCTGCAAGCCGTAGAAAACACCCCATAATTCCGCCCCCGTGATGGATGTTCTTCCAATGTTGGCCGTGAAACCACCATTCCATGTTCCACTGGAGTCCCTCAATAACCCCCCTGCTGTTGCTAACCCCGAAGCTAGATCGAAGGCGCCATCGGTGTTGAGTTTGATCCATCCGTGTGGCGGTGGCTCCCATGTGATCCATCTCTCCCCTTTCATGGGCCGAATTGTTCTCAGCCTTCTTTCCCCTTCCTCCGCTTCTTGTATCTCCTTCAATCTCTTTGCAATTTCAAAGCATTTTACTTGGAAGGGCCGGTCTATCCCATTAAAGACTTGGTCGTTCCTCCATCTCCAAGTGAGCCAACAAATCAACCCAAATGTTCGATTCCACTTTGGCCTGAGGAGATTCGACAAGAGCCAAGAATGGTCCAGTCCCGCAAAGAAATCTATTTGCCGTTTTGGTGGGAGAAAGTGAAGCCATATATCCCGCGATAGAGCACAGTCACGTAGGGCATGTAACATTGATTCCTCCGCTTGGTAGCACCTTGGGCATACCGCCGATTGAGTGAATTGGCGGCGGACCCTCTCCTTGTTCGTCATCAGTTTTCCCTTGGCGGCCAGCCATAAGCAGGTTTTAACTCTTTCAGGGCCCGGCCAATTCCATATGGCCTTCCATAGCGGGGTGGCAGGCCGTTGTGGAATCACTTCCAAAATTCGGTAGGCCGATTTAACTGAGAAACTCCCATAAGAGGAATCTGGCCACAGTCGTGGGTCTTCCCCTTTTAATGGCGATGGCGGCATTGTCGCCGCAATTGCCAGAGCTACCGACATCGGCAACCGTGACAGGAACCAAGGCCAAGCCCAGTGTCCATCCATATTCACAAATTCAGCTACAGGCTTGGCCAATTGATCCCTAGGAATGGGTCTTGTTGCTAGATCACGTAGGGGTTTGAAGCCCATGACCCAAGCGTCTTCCCAGAATCTAATGGTCCTGCCATCATGCAACGCCTATCGCGTCTCTTGTAACATGGGCTTCCACACCTTCCTTATGGAATTAAAAGTAGAGGATCCATTGGCTTTCCTCAAGTCGTTTGGGCCTAACTGATGTGGGAGCCCATATTTTCCTCTGACGGCTTTAACCCATAAGGCCTCTGGTTTGTCCACCAATCCCCATCCCAGTTTCATGACAAAAGCCTTGTTCATAGTATGGGGCTTTTTCAAGCCCAGCCCCCCAAAGTCCCTAGGTTTGCAGGCTTCTTCCCATGCAACTCCGCTCAATTTTCTCGCTTCGTTATCGCCCCCCCAAACGAAGCGCCTGCAAAGCCTATCAATCTCTGAGCAAATCTTCATAGGGAGTAAGTTGGACTGCATACTGTAATACGGCAGTGTGCTAAGGATGGATTTCACAATTGTGATTCTTCCTGCCAGGGTGAGCGAAGACGGCTTTAGCCCTGAAAGACGTGCTCTCAGATTTTCCAAGATGTGACCATATGTGGCCGATCGGACTCTACCATGGATGAGGGGGACGCCGAGGTACTTCCCCAAGTCATTCACTTGGGTGAAGCCCAGACGGTTGGCCATCAGGTGAGCTTTCTGTCTCTCTACATTGCCGGAGAAATAAATTCTGGTTTTTGATTGGCTTATCCTCATCCCAGAAGCCTTGCAGAAATCATCAAAGACTGATTGTAACACCTGTACTTGCTTATCTGACGCCTCTAAAAAGAGCAGAATGTCGTCAGCAAAGAGCAAGTACGGTAGTTTGATGCCTTGCCTCCCCAGCTTCAATGGTCTCCACCTCCGTTCTGTCACTTCTTTGTGGATGGCATGGCCGAGTCTTTCAATACATAACACAAAGAGATAAGGGGATATCGGGTCCCCTTGTCTTACTCCGCGGTTCGGCTTGAATTCCTCCGAGACTTGGCCATTCCACTGTACTTGCATCGTAGGCGAGGTGATACACTTCATGATTCCTGTGGTAAGGATATCCGGGAATCCCGCCTGTTGAAGGGTATCCTGGATAAAATCCCACCGGATCATGTCATAGGCCTTTTCGAGGTCAATTTTAACAGCCATGACTCCCTTTGCTCCCGATTTTGACCTCATTGTGTGAATCGCCTCTTGTGCAAGAATAATATTGTCCGCGATTTGTCTCCCCGGGACAAAGCTGACCTGTTCCTCCTTGATTATGTGCGGAAGGGCAATTTTAATCCTATTAGCAAGGACCTTTGTGACTATCTTGTAACTCACGTTACACAAACTGATCGGACGATAACTTTTTATTGTTTCCGGCTTTTCAGTCTTTGGGATTAGCATAATCATGGTCTGATTGATATCATTTACAGGGCGGTTTCCATATATGATCTCCATCACCATTCTGACAATAGATTCCCTCACAATCGGTCATTTCTTCTGATAGAGGATGGCGTGGATACCGTCAATCCCAGGCGCCTTTAATGGGTGCATGTCTCTGATGGCTCCCAAAACCTCCTCCTCTGAAAGTTCTGTTGACATCTCTTGGTAGGCAGGGCGTGGGATTGCGGGGAAGTAGTTCCGTAGTGTGTATATAGACTGCGGGATATGAGGGCCCACATACAGGTTTTTTAAGAAATTCTCGGCCATCAACCGCATCTCCTCCTGGTCGTACACCATTCTCCCATCATCGGCCTTCAGAGAGATAACTCGATTCCTCCGGCGACAACTTTTGACATAAGAGTGGTACCACTCGGTATTTTTATCCCCATGGAGAGTCCAGTCACGATTGGATTTTTGAATAAGGAGCAGCTCCTCTTGCTGGACAATCTCATCCAGTTCTGCTAGTAATTCGATTTCAAGCCTCTGCAGCTTCAGATTCGAATAATTTTCGCGGGATTTTTGGACCCAGCAAGGCGTGCAAGAGCCCTCCTCTTTCTGTTGTATATGTTCCCAAAAGTAGTATGGTTCCACTCCTTAGCCCGTGTAAAAAAATGCCTTACCGCATCTGGGAATTCCAGCTTCGGGTTCCAGGCTTCCTTAAAAAATTCATCAAACTGGTCATGTATTAACCAAGATGCCAGGAATTTGAAGGGTTTACCTGCGGTGGGGGGTGTTTGGTGTCCTTTGCATCTTGCCAAAATCGGGTGATGATTAGATTGCCACCGGGGGAGGTTTTCTACAAATCCGTGTTGGAACCGATTAATCCACTCATCATTTGCCAAAAATCGGTCGAGCTTTTTATGCAATCCCCGACCATTCAACCATGTGTATTTTGGCCCAGCCGTGTTAAGGTCGTGTAAGCCACATTGTAACACCCAATCAACAAATAATTTACACGGTCCACCGTGTTTTCTTGAGCCTCCTTTCCGCTCAGATTCATGCAACGTGCAATTCATGTCTTCCCCAATTAACCAGGGTTCACAAATGCTATCTCCTAGCTTTGACAACATATCCCATAGAGGTCGCCTTAGTGTTGGATTCGGGTTCGCATATACAAATGTCACTAACAATTCAACTGACCCTTTCTTAATGCGGGTATGGATGAATTGCTTGTGACATTTCAAAATTGTGACCCCTACATCTTCCTTCCATAACAGCCATATACCTTCGGAGAAGCCATCCACCTCAATTCTAAATGAGCGATCAAAGCGGCTTCGCTTGACAAAATAATCAGCCTTCCCTCCACTTATTCTTGGTTCTAGTATAGCTACTACCTCTGGTTGGAATCTATTTTTGAGTTCCTTAAACGCACCATGCACCTCCTTGGAGCCAGCCCCTTGTATATTCCATGACATTATATTTAGACTTATATTCATGGGATAATTAAAAAAAAAGGAGGAAGGATACTTCTTAGAGTGAACGTTGGACCACCGGGGAAGCTTCGGTGTCCTCTTCCATTGCGCAGCATTGTCCTTCTTGTAGTACTATGTCTTCTAAGCCCACAATGCTTCCTGTTGATGGTGTCTCCTGCGCCTGAACTTCTGCTTTGTCAGGTTCTTGTGGAATATCAAGAGGGATCTTTGCACTGATTTGGTCAATTTTCGGTGGCAACTGGAGGGTGCCTGATTTGGCTAGGTCTTGGGTTGGTTTATGGGATGAGAGGCTAGGTTTGGGTTCCACTTGTATGGATATGGCTTGATGTTTTAGAGAGTCTAGTGTGGTAGGGGCCAGGTATATTTTGTAGGCTAAGGTGGGCTCTTTGATGACTAGGGCTTCAGGGGAGGTTATTGGGTTTCCATTGTCCTTCTGGGTGGTTGGGATTTCAATTTCTGGGGCTAGCAGTTTCTGGGTGTTCTTTCTGGTGGACTTTCGTGTTTGGGCTCCCTGGGTTTGGGTTAACATTGTTTTGGGCTGGTGGTTTTCAGGTGTAGGTGTTGGTGGGTTGGTTGATAGGCACCCGTCTGTCTCCTCCCTGACTGGTGTTGTCAATCTACCAGTTGAGTGGGCCCGCCGTTCACGTGAGCGTCCATTCCTCGGGCGTATCTTTGGCGACGGTGTGGGTCCGTCCTCTACTGTCTTCTCCTTTTCGACATTCCTAGGAATCGGCGGCAGTTCGGCGTTTTCTTGGTTTAGATCTTGGAGGCTCGAAAAGAGGGATCCGCTAATTATTCCCTCCCTAGGATAGTCTATTGTGGTCTTTGCCTGTTGGTTAGAGGGCTTCCCTCTCTTTGTGACCTCCACCCAATCCGACTGCTTAGAAGGGCCGGCGGTTGCTCCTCCCTCGGTCTCCGCCGATTTTTTTCCTTTGACCCTTCTCACCTCATCTGCTCTCTGCTCTTCTTGGGTGTTCACACATTTACTAGTCGAGTGGCCAATCATACAACAGGCTTGGCACAGGAACGGCATATTCTCATATTCAACATGTTGTATTCTGCCTTTCATCTCGAATTGGGTGCAGACCGGCTTCTCCATATCAATCTCAATGGCCATCCGGGTAAACTTCCCCCTTGACTTGGCTGCAGTTTGGTGGTCGATATGAATGACCTTACCCATCAGGCGACCCAGTCGGCGGAGGAATGATTGGTTATAGTAGTGGACCGGCAACCCTGGTAATCTTATCCAGACTACCATTCTCTTGATTTTGTTGGTAACGTCATCAAATGACCTGTCCCATTTCTGGACATGCAGATATGAATTTGACAACATCCATGGGCCGGACTGTAAAATACTCTTGGCATCCTTCTCATTCCAAAACTTCACCATGACGTAGTCCCTCTCGACATCCATGACTGCGAAGCCATTTGTGTTATACCAAAGGGTATAGAGGCGAGAACGGATCTGGTTGAGAGTCATAGATAGCCCCATTGGTTTGACAATTAGGACGTTTTCCCACGGTAAGGACAGCTGCTCCTCCACTTTTTCTGAAATTATGGCTTTGGGAATTGGGCCATTCAGATCGAAAATGAGATCGCCCTCCTCCATCAGAATTTCATGGTCTTCCTCGAACATTGGCTTCTCCATGCACCTTTTCCCTTGGAGAATTTTGTCCCTAAAGCTCATTGGTTGGGGTGGCGGTGGGGGGGGGTCGGTTCCGGTTCTTTGGATGGGGGTTTGGGTGGGTCCATTTGAGGATTGGGTTGCAAGGGGGTTATGGGTGGGTTTTCGGGTGGTATCCCATTCAATTCTTTCAATAAAGAAACAATAAAAGAAACAATGAATATGAAAAGTCAATCAACCTATTATTTCCAATTTTTCGAATTGCAAACAGATGAATAAGAATCTTGAGAAAGTCTTTCATTTGTTTATCATTATAGACAATCCCATCTATATTATCTATTTTATGATAAGTGAAAGAATTTAGAACTTAACAAGTCTACTAACCTCATACAAAGAACTCAAAGAGATATTTAGCCCAATCAAAAGAAATTGCGAGGCAGGACAAGTTGGGGAAATGACAAGACAATAACATGTGCATCTGCACCAAGTATTCGAGCAAATTTTCTAAAGATTTTTGAAGAATTCTTAGAATTTCTAAAATTTAAAGTTTTTTTTTTAAAAGAAGAAAGTAAAGGTAAGAGAATAATCAGAATCGAGTCTCTATCCAATATATCCGGGGCACCATACTCCCCACCTTATTTTTTACATTACTAGCCCTTACTACACTTTTTTTTTTCACTTTTCTAAATAACATCCTATAATTTACATGTTTAGTCAATTTGATTTTTTTCTCTCTCCTTTAAAAAACATCTCTAATCTTTAAACGGCCATATCTCATGATCCGTAAAAAAATTAGAGAACGTGTTATACATGAAAATTATAGTACTCGTCGAGACCTATCCAACAAGATCCATGTCGAATATTTTTTTTGAGTTTAAAAATGACTGAATTTTGATGGGAAGAATAAGATGGATATCTAGTTTAGAAAGATGGATAACCAGTTTAGTTTAGATTAAGATTCTTGTATTGCATATATCTCTTGATCCGTAAAGAATTAGAATACGAATTATACATGAAATTTATAGTGCTCGACGAAATCTGTCCGATAAGATCCATGTTGAATTTTTTTTTTTGAACTTTAAATGCATTTAAATTTTACGGGCAGAAATGAAGAAATGTGTTTTTCATTTTTCATTGAAAAATGGTTATCCGTTGTGTTACTACTGATTATCCAACCGGTTTGGACTGATTATCCATTCTGTTTGTACTTGTTATCCAATCATATTTTTGACATTCACTCTTCAAAAAAAAAAAGAAAGAAAGAAAAATGATTGGATAAGCATTACAAACAATTTGGATAATCAATAGAAAATAATTGGATAATCAGTGCAACACGTTGGATAATCAGTACAAAAAAGTTTGACAATCATTTTCATAAAAGGGCAAGGAAAAAAATACTGGATAACCACCACAAAGAAGTTGGATAATCAATATGAACACATTGGATATCTAGTTTAAGAAAATGGATAACCAACTTATTTTACATTCATATTGTTGCGTTCCTTATATCTTTTGATCTGTAAAGAATTATAACACGAATTATTTATGAAATTTATAGTGCTCGACGAGATCTAGCCGATAAGATCAATGTTGAATATTTCTTTTGAACTTTAAATGCATTTAAATCTTACGGGCAGAAATGAATAAACTGAAAAAATGATTATCCGTTGTGTTCATACTGGTTATCCAACCGGTTTGGACTAATCACCTATTTTGTTTTATCCAATCATATTTTTTACATTCACTTTTTAAAAAAGAAAAAAAAAGAAGATGGATAACCAACTTATTTTCGGATTGATATTCTTGTATTACATATATTTATTGATCCGTAAAGAATTAGAACACGAATTATATATGAATTTTATAGTGCTCGACGAGATCTATAAACAAGTTGGATATCCAGTACAAGCGAGCTGGATATCCAGCACAAACAAGTCGGATATGCATACAAACTCGTTGGATTACAACTACAAAACAAGTTGGATAAACATATAAACCAAATGGATGGATATCCAGTACAAGCGAGTTGGATATCCAGTACAAACAAGTGGGATATCCATTACAAACAAGTTTGATAGGCATACAAACCAAATAGGTAGATATCCAGTACAAACAAGTTGGATAACCAGTTAAAACTGGTTGGATAATCAGCATAAACACAATGGATAACTAATTTAAAATAAATTGGGTTATCCATCTTTCTAAACTAGATATTCATCTTATTCTGCCCATCGAAATTTAGTTATTTTTAAACTAGAAAAAAATATTCGACATGGATCTTGTTGGACAGATCTCGACGAATACAATAAAATTCATGTATAACACGTTTTCTAATTCTTCATGGATTGAGAGATATGATCGTTTGAATATTAGAGATGTTTTTTAGAAGAGAGAGAAAAATGTGGCAGGAACTAAACTTGCAAATAATAGAAAGGTTATTAGAAAAAGTAAAAAAAGTACAATAAGGACTAGTAATGCAAAAAATAGGAAGGGGAGTATGGTGCCCGGGGTGCACCCAATAAATTGCCATCAGAATCTTTATCGCAACTCGCAAGGATCAACAATATGTTTTTTATTTTTGAAAAAAAAAAACAACTGCATTTAGAAATTTGCATATATGTTGAAGAATTCAACATTTGAAAAAGAAAATATTATGGAAAACATAATGGCAAGAAAAAAAATAAAATAATAATGGCAAGATGACAAAAATGACAAAAAGTCAGAGACAAAAAGTAAAAGAATTCTTTATTTAAAGGTATCATTATTCTTTATCTTGATCCACTCCAAGTTGGAAAAATTTATTGCAAGTTTATTTCCTAAAATTATAAACTTAAGGAGTTTTAATTGAAATGGAAATATTTATTTGTTTACAGAGTCGAAAATAAAATGGGAGCATCTATTTTATTTGATTTAGTTAAAACTTTGATTTTAAGCAAAATCTATTTAATTATCATTTATTTCTATTTTGTTGTGCAATTTAAAATCCCTAATTTATAAAGGAGAGACTTATTTCTTGTTATTAAATCTCACAAAAAAAAAAACAATAGGTTTTTTCTAAACAAAAATTAAATAAATGAACCAATGGATTTTTTCAACATTAAATGTTTGGGTAGAAGGGACTAAGGAATCATTATTAGTATTTTAAACGTCTAAAATCTAAATGCTTATTTGAAAAATTTAACTGAATTTTCCTCATTTTATTTCGATTATTTGTAAATTTTTCTAAAAATATAAAACACACACAAAAAAAAAGGAACCTTTCAAAACAGAGCGCCAATTAAAATCTCAAATTGGTTTCCTCCGCCATTTCAAATGCAGAACAACAAAACCTAGCTGCGGCCGACAGCCAATTCTCAAATTCTTTCAGTTAATTAGCTGAAAACTCCTGAAATTTGCATAAAAAATTAGTTAATTGTGGTGGTAAAATTCGCTGCCATGGCCGGGATATTGAAGCCGCCGGGAGCATTTGCAGTTACGCCGCACAGAGTTTCCGTTTGCATTTTAATTCAATTGTTCGCACCGCCGGGGCAAAGTTCCGTTCCGTTGTCGTTCCCCTCTGTTTCCGACCACAATCGTCTAGGACTGTTCCTTATTTCTCTCACTAAGGTACGCTATCTAGCTATGCTCACTCTTTCGTGCTATTTATGCTTTGAGTTTCAGAGTTTTGGGTTTGAAAAAAAAAAGGTGCGGGATTTGATGTGCGTAAGTTGTCTTACTAAACCATGGATTAATTTATGGAATAGATGACATTTTATCGAATTTTATAGAAATCAAAATTTGCGAGTGCAACAGTATCCATGCTATGAATTGGGATTTTAATCTTTTAAGGGAACTGGAAAATCTGGGAATGAACTTTGGTTTGTATTCCAAAGGATGAGCACATTGTTTTTTTTTTTTTTTTTCCTTAGATGAAAGAATTTGGCCCTGGGTTCAGTATTTTCTGATGGGAAAGTGATGCTCCATGACCACAGCTTATGAACGGCATTTGCTATCTAAAATATGCTTGTTGGCTGACTTTCTGATGCCATGATTGTATTGCTTTTTTTATGAATGCAGTCCTGTGATCATGTTTTGGAGCCAAAGCTGGATGAGCTGATTGAGCTGTTGAAAGAAGTTGGTGACTGGTTGATTGCTCACTTGACTAGCAGAATATCATCGTTTGAATCACCCGATGATTTATTTAACTTCTTTACTGATCTAAGAAGTAAGTTTCTCTTTTAGTTTTTCGGACTATAAAGTGTCACCATAAGATTGTGTGGTTTTGAACTGTTTTAGGGTGCTTCTATAGATTTATGATAAAATAACTTGAAGACAATGATTTATCAACTCGGTGCTCTCATCTTTCTGGACTGTTTGTTAACGTTTTAATAGGTACTCTGGGGGGGACTGATTCTAGTGTCGTGGATGATGATCAAATTATGCTTGAGCCAAGCAGCATTCTTGGGTTGTTTGTGCGACATTGCATACTTGCTTTCAATCTGTCAACCTTCGAGGTATCTTTTGTGTTCATGATATCTTGAAATTCATAATATAGTGGTACTTGAGATCTAGAAAGGAAGAGGTTTCTTTTTTTGCTCAAGTACCATTTGCCATTCAGATTTCAAATAGAAAGCCTTTACATACTCTTTTGGTTTCAATATTTATCTACCATGGGCGTGCAGGGTGTCTGCCATCTCTTAACAAGTATAGAGATGTATCGTAAAGAATACTTTTCAAGATGTCCGTACGAGCTATCCCATTTAGAAGATTGTACTAATGATGCTGAATCATCGATGCGATATGAGAACATGGAATTGGAGAATCTTGTGTTTGAGAAAGTTAGTGAAGAGTTTGAAGCACGGAAATTGGCTAATGAGAGAATTTCTTTTCATATGCATGCACCTAAAGCACTTTTCGGACTTATTGAAGGTATAACTTCTAGATTATATTTATTGATCTTATTTCATGTCTTATGGCTTGCACTTGCTAACCCCGCTAATGGGCTTAATATTGGGGAGATGCTCGCCACAAATTCTAAAATCATGTGTAACTTACCGATTGTACTTATTGATCTTAGTTTATGTTTTATTGCTTGCATGTGATCCCACTAATGGGCTTAATCTTGTGTGATACTCTACCGACAAATTCTAAAATCATGTATCCGGCACTAACATCTCATCTCCTAAATTGGCTGGCAAATTTGCTTAATTTTACCTCCCTTGAAATTTTAACATGTGGTAATAATGTTAGTTTTCAAAAAATCTGAAATCATAGGGAGGTAGAAATGTTTTTACTTTTCCTTCTTCTTTTCCACACTGGTGTGATTTCAGAAAGTAAATGCAAGAGTGATAGCAGATTGAAAAGGAGCTGCTGCTCTCTAGAAGTTTTGAAGAATGTTGGTTCTCGGGGAAGACTGGACTGAAGAAGACTAAAAAACTAAAACTGTAGATAGAGGTAGGAAGCATCTTAACTTAAATGAGAATAAATGATTCGATAGAACGCTATGGCTAGATATGATCTCTGTAGCTACTGCACATGGTGAGATTGAGACTTGGTCCTTTTTGTTGGCTAATTTGGAAGTCCTTATTGCACAGTTAGATATAGGCTTGGTTCTCACTGTTTTCTACTTAAAAAGGTCTTATGCAGTACGTTGGAGTTGAATGAAGTTACACTTGCATTCAGAACAAACTGGCTTGCTCAATTTTGTGAACTTGGATTGTTCTTTTGTGTTTGTATATTGCTTGATACTGTGGATAATGTATTGCTAAAAATTGTAATGAACCACGACTATTCTTCCAGGAAGAGATCTCCTTATGCTTGGATGAAATTTTAGTGGTGCACCATGTCTGTTTGACCTAACGAATCTGGCTTCATAATTATGGAGCATTTTTTGGAATTGTCTCCATGTATGATGTGCAGTGTTGTTCACAATCCCATTTTTGGTTTTGTTCAAAAGTATTTATGACATGTTTAACCAGTGGCTTTTTTTATCTTCTGGTCAAATGTAACTTGTTCAGATGGAGATATTTCTTCAGGCTCAGATCTCAAACAATTTGATAAAATAACGGAAGGTCGCTCCTGCGCACCTCCTCCAAAAGATGAAATGAATGATCTAGAATCACAGGCTGGTGCCATCCTCCGTACAAATTGGCAAGTACAGGGTTTCTTATTAGAGCAATCTGATGCAATTGAAAGGCATGTCATTCCCCATTTAACCTTCTGCATTTGTTTTATGCGTAGATGATGTCAGGTGCTAACTCTTACGGATCCCTTTTATGTGTTCTGTACCAGGCATGGCAGCGCATTTCCTTTGAATGCCTTTGAGTCTGTACTTAATCAGCTTCAGAAACTTGCTCCAGAGCTGCATCGGGTAGACTTGCGTTTTTATTTGCATGTCTTTAGGTTCTTTACTTTAAAAGTTTAACTTGTGTGCTCAGTTGTTTGTTACCTGGTGCATTAAATTCAGGTTCATTTCTTGCGCTATTTAGCGAGCCTTCACCATGATGACTACCCTGTGGCTTTGGAGAATCTTCATCGTTATTTTGACTACAGGTATAAGTTTCCATAGTATATTTGGCTGTTCCAAATAATATACCTTTTGCCTTTCTGTTCTTTAAGCAGTTTTAACTGACATTAACACTTTGCACGTTGCTTACTAGTTTTATTGATGGTCACGCTATGTTCTAGGATTTACCTGGCTATCCCACTAGTAGGTATTATGTGAAAACACCACCTATCAAAGAAAAGGATAGTTATTTTGGTATGATGCGAAAAAACTGAATTCAGAGCTTAAGCATGGAGATTAACTCTCTTTCTTTAGAAATTATATTCCCCATAGATGAGATTTATCTCTTTATAACTATTGGCACAATATTCTGAGAAATGTTTGTTCCAAAGTGCAGGGACAGAAGGACTTGATATTGTACCACCTTCCACTGGAGGTGTTAGTTCTGGTCGTTATGAAGTCGCTTTACTATGCTTAGGGATGATGCATTTCCATTTTGGCCATCCCAACCAAGCTTTGGAGGTAAGTCAAATGCTTGTTATCTCCAGTTTCATCTTTTAGTGCAAGCTTTGGAGGTGCAGCATCTTCTCTTCAAATTTGTTTCTTAATGATTTTCCTTTTGGTTTTCGGTGGACGTGCAATTTTGCCTCCTGAGATACACTGCTTGCACAAACTAAGCAAGTCTGACTGATGCTTTGTTTCCTGTTTTTAGGTCTTAACCGAAGCAGTTAGACTTTCGCAGCAGGTATTCTTCTTTAGTTGTGTCAATCAAAAGTCTTTGGTTCATGCAATTTTGAAAGTGTATGATTGGCCTTTGATCTTAGAGTTTTGTTGATTGTGTGGTACACAATTGATGAAACCCCTCATTGAGTTCATTTCTTTTCCCCCCTTGTGCAGTTTTTTTGGGATTTTTGCAATGCAAATTTTTTCAAGTTTTTTTAATTAGTAGTTTATTCCTCTAGATTCATGCACTACCGATCCTTTGTAGTTGTAGCAGTTTCATCAATTCTGCTGTCTTCTAAATGAATCAGATTAGTATTTATATCCAAGAGGGATATTTAATCAGCAATTAACTATATGCTTAAAGAAGCTGTTAATCTTTTTCGTTTAGAAGTTTCGGCCATTGTGTCACTTTTTCACGATTAAGGCTCCGTTTGATAATCACTTAAGTATGAATATGAACACTTAACACTTAACACTGAAGTCTGAAGACTGAATTTACATTGTTTGATAAAAATGTCTGAATTTGATGTCTGGAGACTGAAGTTTGAAGTCTGAAGTCTGAAGACTGAATCTGAATACTCAGGTCTGAAAGTTATTTAAGATTTTAATATCATTAAAGTTGATTTATAAACAAAATTTTTTTAAATAAAAAAAATAACTAATATTTTGTTCTTAATTAAAAATAAGCGTCGAAATAAAGACGAGGGAAAAAAAGGGGGAAAAAAAAGAAAAAAAAAGAGTCATTACAGAAATTAAGTGTTAAATGATAAGTGATAAGTGGTAGGCCTGTCACTTATTTTCTGACTCACAATTGTACTGGTCATTCAGACGCACTTAATTAATTCAGACAGTGAAATTTCAGTTATCAAACGAACTTAATTTATAAGTACTTAATTAATTCAGCACTTAATTCATTAATACTTTTTAATAGCGATTATCAAATACACTTAATTTCATTAAGTACTTAAATAAATTAAGTTACTATATTAAGTGATTATCAAACAGAGCCTAAGTTCCCTTTTCTTCTTACTTTTTTTTAAAGTTTGGTTTGACGCTAGTGTCTACTTCATTTTGTATCTGCTTTCGGGGCTATCTTTTGTTCGCTTTCCCCTTAGTCATTTGTGTACGTTGTTGGAATCTACCTTATATGTTACTCCAGTTTGGAGTAGTTTTTATTTTCAGTTTCCAATTTTATTATCTTTCATTGTAAACAAGAAACTATAGGAATATTTCTTTTTCATTCTCGTTGCTCATGACTAAACATAAATCAGGGCTTCATTTACCTGTTATAAGATGTCTAAGCAATAACCATGTTCTGTGGTTGGTGACTCTTTTGTCAAATATTGAATCTTGTATGCATATGAATTCATTTAAAAGTGGGAATCAAAACATATTTCTCCTACTATGATCCATTCCGTATCAGTTCTCTTTCTGGAACTGTCCTCATTTCAGTTGCACAGAAGGTCATATGTCTATGAACTGATCTTTGTTTTTTTAAAAAGCTTATGAAAGACCAACTTGTTATCTGAAGCTTGCCTTTCTTCTAAAGGAATGTTTTTTCTCTTTCAATAAAAGCTGCTCTCGCTAGTTCTTTCCTGGAGTTCGTCAATAGTTTCTGATGGTTTCTTCTTTTTCTTCTCATTGTTTTGGTTTTGTGCTCTTTTCCTTGATTGTGCTTAATGACTCTTTTAATATTTGTATTAATCTACAGCAAAGCGATGATGCTTGTCTTGCATACACTTTGACAGCCATTTGCAACCTACTATCTGAAGTTGGTATTTCGAGCACAACTGGGATTCTTGGATCATCTTGCCCTCCAGCAATGAACATGCGAACTTCCCTGTCCATTCAACAGCAATTATATGTGCTTTTGAGAAGGTCTATAAAAAGAGCTGAAAGCTTAAAATTAAAAAGATTGGTGGCCTCCAATCATCTCGCGATGGCAAAATTTGAGCTAAGTGTAAGGGTTAATGTGGATTCTGAAATATTGATGTAGCTTAACTCAGTGTCTTTGCTTTAATTGGAACTTGCTGCTTAGGGATTTCCTTGGATCTTTCTTTCAGAACTATTATGGTCATGGTTTTAAGTTGGCAAGAATGAGATTTATGGTTTGCATTTATGATCACATTAATTTGTACCACGACAAAGGCACTATGGCAAAAGTTGCTAATGTTTTGAATTGGATGAATGTTACATTGGCCAGTTTTTGTTGGTTTCAGAACTTTTCTTTTTCTTTATTATAATTACTCTTTTCTTTTTAAGGTTAACTCGGAATCCCAAAGTTGTTATGAAACAATTTAGCAACTATATTCAAAAGGTTTTCTTTGATTTTTGTAATTTCGCAGTTTCTCTTTGTTTGAACTACCCCTTTAGTTAAAATCTTCTGTTAGATAATTAGTGTCTTCCCGGATCCTTCTTGGATCTCATGGATGTTTAATGTAAATGTCATCAAATGGGGGAAAATGATTGACTATACTAATAGTGTGTTTAAACATAAGAATTTTTAGTGAATAATGACCCAAACTTCTAGGGTAAATTGTGCCTATCGATTAGTATCATTGATGCAGTCATTTATGCCGCACTATATCTGAGCTTGAGAGTCCTATCATCCGACTTTAAAGGCTCTCTTTGTGATGTCCAGCTTGCTCAAAGACCCTTTTACCACATCCTTCCGTTTTAGATGGATAACCAATGTTTCTCCATTTCATTGCAGCATGTTCAAAGGCCATTGTTATCTTTTGGTCCAAAGGGTCCCACGAAGCTTACAACCTGCCCTATCAATGTCTGCAAGGTTCTGCTTTCTTTCATTCTGATTATTTGCACGGGTCTTGGGACTTTTTCCTTTCATTTCTCATTATTAAGGTCTGTATCAGGAATTAAGGTCGAGCTCCTATCTTATTAGTGAATTCGGTGATGAAAATTCTTCAATGACTACTGATGGTGCTTTATGCACTACTTGGCTCAAGAATTTGAAGAATCCAATCGGTTCACTCATTTTCTCGCAAGAAAATGAGTCTAGGAGCAATCCGGATGCTTTTCAGTTCTCTGCACAGCCCAATTCTGTCCCTGGTTCTGTGCTTCAATTATTAGGTGCCTCATCATTGGTTCGTGCTACTGCATGGGAGTCATATGGCTGGTAACATGTGAATTCCGTTTGCAGAAAACTTGAACAAATTGTTTTAAAATTTGTATATTTTGTACACTGCTGTGAAAATGGCTACATTTTTGTTTTGTCAAATTTCTTTTTATGGATCCTGTTGTTTAAGTTGATTATTTTTTAATTCCTTTAATCTTGTTCGTTTTCAGTACTTCACTTGCACGGATAAATACCCTGGTCTTTACAACATGCTTTGCCAAGTCATCAAGGTATTTACTGAATAATCTTTGAAGTATGATCCTTTTGCTTTGCACCTTCATATGTCCTATTTTTCCGCAAACTGTTAGTAAGCATTCCTTCACACTTGCAGTTCAGCTGATTCAGCATTAGCATATGCGAAGTTGATCCAACATTTGGCTATCTTTAAAGGACACAAAGGTTAGCAATTTTTCCCCTTTTCTGGAATTGGAAGTGCGATATATGCATTCATTTCTTCAATCTGGAATCTCTGCTAAATTTTTTGCAGTACAGTCCTTACTTGCTCGTCAATTTCCATCTCAGTGCAGTACCATTTTGTTTTGGACATTATAAATTATATGGTGATGTTAATGAGAAGCGGTGTAGTAGTTATAATATTTCATTCAATTCCTTAACCTTATCCTTTACCAGTACAAGAACAGAAAGTTCACAAAGTTGTCTGTCATATTCATTTTAAGAGGTAACATTTAAGAATTTGGCAAAAATACTTGATTTGAAAAAGATAGTGAATTTTGAAATGAATTTATGAGGATTATATTCAGTTGTAGAGAAATTAAGTGGGAAGAAAAATGTCAAAGTTTCTTAAAATACTATATCAAAGTTATAAGGTTCTAGTGACAGCAACTACAACAACAACATACTCAGTATATTCCCAACTTCATCAGGGTCTTAGGATTCAAGATGTAAACAACCTTAGCCCATTATATCAATACAGAGAGGCTATTTAAGTACTACCCAAGATGCACAAGTTTCCGTCTAGCTTACTTTAAGTTACAAGAGATAGATGTGAGGATGATACGTGTTGGGAAAATATTAATGATGTGGCACTTTTCTGTATGGTTATTAAACTTTGTTAGAGTAGTCACATGTTCTCTTGAAGTAGTATATACAGTCTGGGACTAGATGGCATGTGTGCCATCAATATGATTTAGAAAAGTTGGAATAGGCCATAGTCATTCAAAAAGGTTCCTACAATGAAAATAAATGAACACAAAACAACAATTCTAAACGTAATAAACAAGATAACTTGTAGACTCCTAAAGCTAGGGACTGTTTTGGAGCTTCACAGAAAGAAAACAGAAGCTCCTGGCGTCTATTAGTGATGGGTCTCTTTCACAACCTCTGTGACCTTATCACTTCATAAGAACCAAACGCATGAGCATGAATGTGCTTGGGGAAGTTCAAGAAAGGTTTTCTTCTAGATTGAGGTTGTAATCAATGGTTACGTTGTGCAGAAGCTTTCAAGGCTCTTAGAATAGCTGAGGAGAAGTTTGTATGTGTTTCAAAGTCTAGAATCTTGCTAGTAAAGCTGCAGTTACTTCATGAGCGTGCTCTACACAGGTGAGGCTTTCTTCTCTGTTTTCTGGTTGTTTTGTGGTTTGGGGGTTACTGAGTCACGGCGCAAAATTATTTTTGTTGATGTGCTTTCTTGAAATCTGCAGAGGGCATTTGAAATTTGCTCAGCAAATATGTAATGAACTTGGAGTTCTAGCCTCTTCAGTAACTGGTGTGGATATGGAGCTGAAGACAGAAGCTAGTCTGCGGCATGCTCGAACGCTGCTTGCAGCTAACCAATTTAGCGAGGTATATGGGTGAGGGTGGATGAAATCGATGGTGCTTTTACTGTAAAAAGTACTACGTTGTGGTCAATTTATGGTTTTTCTTTCTTTCATTTTTTTTTGGGGGAGAGAGGGGTGGGTGGGGGTTACGGTAGGTAAGGTATGGGGTGTCAATTGGGGGTGTCAATTGTTAGCTCTCTGGATAGTTTGGGGTTTCAGAAGAAAGTTATGTTTAACCATTATAAGTTGGAAACCATGTGTGACCTACAACAGGCAAGCAACTATTTGTTTTAATTGGTTTATTTTTAAACTTATTTCCACCTCCATCGGCTTTATCTTTTGCCACCATATTTTTTCATGCAAACGGCAGGTGGTGCTTTTCTTTTTCCGGATTTATATTTCTTTTCAATTATATGCGTTCAGAATTTTACTCTTGGTGTTCCTATTTGTTCACCATGGAACATGTAGATTGTATTATAATTGGGATTAACTTGTACCATGTTTCAACTTTCTAGAGATTCCCTTTCTAATGCAAGTAATTATTTCAGGCTGCAACTGTTGCAAACTCCCTTTTCTGCATGTGTTATAAGTACAATATGCAGGTTGAGAATGCCACTGTTCTGCTTCTGCTTGCTGAGATACATAAGGTATTATATTCTCATTCATTCTTGTTAGCTTGTCCTTTTTTTTTCCCAGTTACTCTCAACTTTCTGAATGGCTTTAGACAAAATGTTTGCTTCCTAATTATTTGTAATTTATTTTCCTGGTTCATCTTTGGTCAGATCTTGTCAAATCATGGCTATGCATGTTTACATTTCAATCGCGTATCAATAGTATTAGACTAATCAGTAGTATTTGACTAACGGCAAGTTTTATAAGCTCATGTACTATGGCACACAATTGTTTGTTGCTGGTTCTCTTGCAATTATGATCTGAAAATTTTTCTTGGGCCTTTTACTGTCTGAATGAATTAATGTTGAGATGACACACCTCCCCTTTTATCATTTTCAGAGATCAGGAAATGCTGTCCTTGGGATTCCTTATGCTTTGGCTAGTCTCTCGTTCTGTCAGTCTTTTAATTTGGATCTTCTGAAGGCCTCCGCGACGTTAACACTAGCTGACTTATGGCTTTTGCTTGGATCAGACCATGCAAAAAGAGCTTTAGCCCTCTTACATGGCGCTTTTCCTATGATTCTCGGACATGGTGGTCTGGAACTGCGCGCTCGAGCGCATATAACAGAAGCAAAATGCTATCTAGCAGACCCGAGCTTTTCTGGTATGTGTTGGCAATCATTCTTCTACTGCTTCTATTGCTTCATTTGTTTTCTGGGACGTGTTGTCTTTTGTGGCAGTGGAGTATTTGAACTTTACCTGTGCATCTAGTGCTGTGACCTGTACCTCCAATTTTCTTAAAGTCAATTGTGGAGCTCTGTATGGAGCTTTCATTTGACAATAATTATTTGGTGTATTTGTAGAATGATCAATGCTAATAAATTTCAGCCACGGAAAAGGAGTGATGAGTTTTTTTAAAGTGATAAAAACCTATACTCTAATTACATTTCCAGTGGGCCAGAATAGCTATGTGATGATATGCTCAAATATATTTACTTTCTGGCCATTTGCTTAGTTCATCGTCTCCAACTTGAGTATGGGTGCACATGAGCGCTGGTAATTTATGCTCCTTTTGTGCCCTGAGGTTACTGTGACTCAACTGAGAGTCAATTCTTCAAACTTTCCAGACTAAGGACTATATCGGAATATTTATTACATGAGGACCTATGATTGTGTCCCAGATGAAAAGTATGTTTTACAATATAGGGAGAGGTATGGATATGAGGAGTATCTTCCTGATTTAATAACCGCTTGCTAAAGAAGAAATGCAAACACACAACTGAGAACATACATAGGTATACATAAATACGTGTCTGAAACACAATTTATTTTGCTGTTTTGTAAAAACATAATATCTTCTCCAACATTTCACTGTCACCGAAAACTTTCTGGATTTTGTAAAGCTTTTGATGGAAGCATGCAAAAGCTATATTTTCATCTTAGGTTTCTATTGTTCCCATGGACGAGTTTAGCCATAGGGATATTTGTGGTCAAAAGTCTTGTTTTATATATAGGTTTCTAGCTCTGACAGGTTTGTCTTTGTTTGTTCTTCGGCCAAATCCTGTCCCACATGGCTAAAAATTTCATCTTTCTTGCATTTTATATTTCATATGATTTAAATCTAAAATTAACTTTTGCTTGCAGTTATTGGTTGAGGTATTGGACTCCAAAATTTTGTTGGTTAAGTTCAAACTGCAAGATAAATCTCAAAATATTTTATTGGTTCTATAAATAATTCAATAGAAAATAAATTGTCTTTGTTTGATTTTCAGATAACAAATAACATTCTCATGTATGTCATTAAACTAGAAGATGGAGATCCCAGATCTAAATGTGTTAAAAACAAAAACAGCAACAACTACACTTTTATCCTATGCTAAATATGCTGAGGTGATGAGTCCAGATTTTCATACTAGAGCTTAATTTAAGATCATTCCTGCTAATGATTTTATTTTTCTAAAAAAAAAGGATTATTCCTGCTATTATCTAGTTGTAGTTACAATTTCTTGTTTTAGGATGTGAAGAATTGTTTGACTATCATACCTGGTCCTTGTTTGTGATAGTCTACCATTTTTGATGTATCTGTTTGTATCATGATTGTCTGTTTGTATCATGATTTAATATTTGAGCCTGGGTCATGAATACCGAATGACCGTTGAGTACCTTTGGCAGTTTCAGAAAATCCGGAGGTAGTGGTTGAACCTTTGAAGCAAGCTACTGAAGCACTTCAACTATTGGAGGTTGGTTAAATCTTTTATTACGAAGATAAAAAATCAAGTTGCATGAGTTGATTTCGATAGATCTTGAATATTTAATAAGTCTCTTTTGTTCTGTTCGTCTAAGATTTTTATGATAATTCTACTTTAATTGAAGTCGTAAGGTAATCATTCACTTGTCCAACTTCAAAACAGTCTTTGCTGGTGATGAAACTTTAGTTAAAAGAGAAAATGCGAAGCACATTGGCAAACTTCTCTGAAAAGAAGGGAGGGAGTTCTCTATTTTCCAAAACGTCTTTGGCTATTCTTTTTGACCCATAATCCCCTCCCCCCTCTTCCCCTTTTTTTTTGGGTGTTTTGAGCATGGCTTCTGGCTCTTTTTTTAGGCACCTATATGATATGGGGAGGGCTGAAACTTAATCCACTATATTCAAGTAAAAGCACCATTGCATTTCAATTTCTGCCTTGAAACTTAGACTAAAAATACTTTATGTAGAAATGGCATTGTTGCACTAAAACTACTTGTATATTATCTTCTGTCAACTTTTCTGCTTTGGATTCATGCTATCCTCCATAGTTCCTGCGGTTCTGCTTCTGTTAAAATAAAGGTGTAAATCCAAACATTGCTAAAGGGTTGCCCATGAGGAGAATGCTATCACTGGACTGACATCACACTCCAAGTTAACCAGAACATAGTCATGTTTCTGCTATACCAAGACAACCTTTGGTCACTGAATAGAGGTTTCATTAGTCCATCCTAAGCTTTTATGCCTCTGGATAAGTCTCCATATGCAACTTCAAGTTGTTCCACTTTGTATTCAAATTCAAAAACTACGTTCATGCTACTACATCATCATGTGGGATAAAGGCTTATCGTTGTTGATGTTGTATGTATCATCAATAACACAATCAATAGTTTGGTATCCACAATAGTAGGGATTAACCTATCAAATTTCCATAAAATCTTTAGCCTCCTTCATTGCTTTAATAACAACAGGATTTTCATCAAGTTCTGCTAGATCAATGGTGTTGATCCTTGCTGTGTCATCCGGGTGAGTAGCATCATCGTTCAACTTTGATTCGTCGTTCGTGTCTTCAGCTTTGGCATCAGTATGCGAAATTCTCAAGCATGCCAAATGTCTCTTGAGTTGAAGCTCAAAACACCCTTATTTCACATCCTTCCTTCGATCATCAGTTCTTTGGGACTTTAGTCTCCTGACTTGTATTTGTAACTGGTTGCTAAGATCTTGCTGCACTGGCTTTTCCTATTAGCTGTTGTCCCATTTTTTGCACAGTTTTATTCACATGATTCATGTTTACAATTGTTTGGTGTTATCAGTATGCCGAGAGCTTTATCGTGTTCACTTACCCGAAATCGTTTCTTCCTTGCAGTATCATGAAGTAGCAGCCGAAGCTTATTACTTGCTGGCAATTGTATACAACAAGTTGGGACTCTTTGAAGAAAGGAAAGAAGCTTCGGCTTCGTTTAAGGAACACATTGTAGCTCTTGAAAATCCTGCGGACAAGGAACAATATCTTTCTAGTTTGTTGTGGTAGGTTAAACCTTTTCCCAACAAGTTTCTATCTCTTCCATATTATATAAAGGTTTTCGGCTCAATTTTTTTTTCTTTTATTCTCTTTCTGGTATTTATAACATACTGTATAATATATCTATTTAAATGTGTGCATTTGCATATTAAAAGAGGGGGAGGAAGGAGGGTGGTGGGGGATAGCTTATAGTTTTGGGTGCAAATGGACGCTTCCTAATTGAAAGTCTTCTTCCAATATTATTGACCCCATTTGGTCTTCTTCAAGCTTCAATAGTGCTAGAGATTTTAATTGATTTTGGAAAACGACATCTTTGATTCTCCTCGCTGTCGATTCATTGTAACACTTTGTGTATCTTGGAACGGTATTTTGGTGTATCGTTGTTCTTGGTTGCACTTGTACTGCCTGCAACTGCAAAATATTGCAATCGATATACTGGCTTTATGAATACGTGTTGTGCTTTTGTAATTTATAAAGGATTTACTCTATTTCCATTAATTCTTTCCCTCCATTATAGTCCAGTCATGTCTCTATTCGCGATAATTGTTTTTCCTCTTTGCAAGGATTACAAACAACCGGAGCAGCAGTAACATCAAACTTACAGGACTCATCAAGTGTTGATCCACTTTATTTTCCTCAAGAAACGTGTAGTTGGTTGTAACATAAAAACAAGCAAAATATCGTTGAAGCAATTGATAAGTGTATGGTGCATCACCGGAGGTTGGGTAGGAGAGGGCCAGCGCCATCTTGATCAAATTGGGCGAATTATGATGATGCAAACTTGAGATTTGCTCATCAACTGAGGTAGTGGTAATTATTTCCATTAAAAAAATTAGAAATTTTTGGATTGAGATTATAAAGTTGATTAAGAAGTCATGGATTAAAGAAAATGCAAAAAAAAGAAAAGAAAAAAAAAGAGGCTGATAGCTCTGAGAAAATTAAGGGAAAGAATATCGAGTAAATCCCTTAAAATTTGTATACGGCAAATATAGATACAGTTTTTTTTTTTTTCCGGAAAAGGAAATATAGATACAGTATTTGATAAGAATATGCTCTCAAAATATCAACACCTTTCTTTCTTTTACAATAAACTAGATGCTACCCTTGCGTTGCATGGGGCGGAAATATCGCAATTTATATAAGTATAATGAAATAAATAAATATTTGAAAAAACGTATATGATACAGATTTCAAACATCGTTAACCATGATTCAATTAGTGTTCAAAGAATGCAGTTAGTGTTTAAATAATGCAGTACATGAGGAATAGAGTAATATTCAAATAAATTGTGTGACTTTATTTGGACACCAAATTAAAAAATTATTAGAAAAAATTTTTTTAAATTCAAATTATATATACCATATTTTCAACACTTTTTTGTAACAACATTTATAGTTTGTTTCTCACACCACCGTCTTGATCACATAATAATACTTTAATTTATTCTATTGAAATAACATATTCATGAACGAATACCGAACGTGATACATATAATTTAACTCGGACTGGACCTCACTTTCATTTATCTCACTAATAAACAAATGACAAAAAAACTTGTCTTCATTTTGTACTGAACCACAATTTTAAATTTCATTTCAATTTCATACAATTGTTCAACCATACAGTTAGACCATTTTTGGATAGAGATATCTTTTTAATTCCTTCATCCCCGCGCTAATATTCTCCCATCTCCCCATTACTCGAAGATCTGTACCAACCTATTGCCATGGGCTATAACCATTATCCTCTTCAACGGGTGATTCTTGAAAGTTGCAAGTCAAGTGGTAATTGAGGTGAAAACACCAAATAACCTCCTCGCGCCTTTGCGAAAAAGAAAAAAGCAATTACCTCTCGTTGCCTTCTTCCTTTGTTTGCTTATAGTTTAAAGTACTAACCTTGAGTGACCTAAAATCATGGTAGATTAATGTAACTTGTGAAAACTTTCTCTTGAAAAAACAAAAATCAGTAAAATCAAGTTACCATCTAAAGATATTCCTAATTAATTATGTCATAGAGAAAATTAGCAATAATAATAAGTCTATACTTTTAAGGAGAAAGTTTGTGTAAATTAGTATGTGATAAAAAGAAAAAATTAAAATCAAATCTTGACGAAAAAATACAACATTCAATCCAAACAACCTACCCAATTCGAATTATGATAATGTACTGTACAAACACAAACTAATAGGGGAACAAAAGGGACACTAAACTATAACTTAGTAGTTTCTGGAAACCGAGAGTATACTCTGAAAGCCCCTCTATTGAAAATTTAACCTACGAAAAAAGAAGAAAAAAGAAAATTTCAATCCAAACTATATTAATTGAAACAAAAGAAACGAAATAGACAAATACTACTACATTTAATCGAACTGATCATATTGAGACCTTCTACGATAATGAAGTAGAAAACATGCTAGAAGAAGAAAAAAGAAAAATATGATGATAAAAATGAAACATAATCACCCTGAGTGTTTGTATTATTTTATAAATATCAATAATTCAAATGCCCAAAATTTCTCAAAATATAAGGAATAGAAATCTCTCATGAGAATCTATTTGAAATTCTCTCCGTTGTATCTCTCATTAGTTCAATATAGAAATATTTCTTTTAATATTTCAATATTAAATAAATTTGGAGATATATAAGAGAGATTTTAGGGATTCTATTTCATAGTTACCAACCTCCATCTTTTTTTCAATTTTTAAAATCAAAATTTTAACCGAAGATATAATGTTTGTTTCCTTATTAATAAATCAAAAAATGGAGAAAATTGCCAGTCCTATGTGGCAAGTGGAAAATTATCTCAGTTTCCTCTCTCTGAATTTTTTATTATTATATTATATGGATTTCATTTCTGTTGTAATTGTAACTAGATGCTTGCCCCGGGCGAATGCCCGAGATGTCGCCTGTATTTTAAATTGATTAAATAAAAAATACGAATCATTCTTAAAAGAATAAAAAGAATTAGAAGAATAAAAAATCGATTTAAAGGACAGAAAGTGAACTATTACACATAAATTTATGCCCAGATTTACAACATTTAATTTATAACAGTTAACTTATGCCCGTGTTTATATAAATCATAAACCAATATCTACAACAAAAGAATAAAAAAATCATCCTTAAAAAATCAAATTTCTTTCATGACAAGTTATTTTTTCTCTGTTGTAGAAAGAAATAGATTGATAATTGATGTCAGATTTTAAGTAATTGATTTAAAGGCCCGGGTGTGAGAGAGGAGCGGAATGGAAGAGATTCTTTGAAATTGGGGATTGGGAAGACATTATTGGTGTTTCACTTGATTTAAGGGGATTTCCTAGTATTTGATTTTATCAACTAAATATTGTTGTTTTAAAAGATTAGTATATACCTATAATTAAGATAGTTTTATGTAGTTATAATTAAGGGATTTATGCATTTATTTATTCTATCTTTTTTTTTTCTATTAGTTAGAGTGCCACATGTCAAAAATGATTTTGTACTGAAAATTATTTTTGGCGGAAAATTTTCTTTGTGATGCTGACACATGTCCTTTTTGTTTGCTGCTTTAATTAAATAATAATATAGATAAATCAGACTGAAACGGTATCAAACATCTTGATTGTCCATGTAGGTGTATAATAAATGCGCAAATCCATCCCGCTTGTCCGAATTTGGCACATAAATTATTCATTTACACTTCCACGTAAAATATCCAGCCGGATTTACACCAAAAGGAAAGAAGAATAGAAAAATCCTTGGCCAATGGCCACAAAGATCATCAATGATTAGTTAATCAATGATGCTTTTATCTACATTGTTTCCAAAGAGGTAAAATTAGGTACTGGTATAGATTTGCCGTAATGGAGTGTAATTTCCCTTTTGTTTTTGTTTTTTGTTTGTTTGTTTTTCTTTTTGTTGACAAAAGGTTCTATATCCATTTGTACTGTTTCTAAAAATTAGGTGTGGTTGACCCATTAAAAGGAAAGATTTTAAGGATCTTTCAATTTAATTGTGCATAGGATGCCAAGAATAATAAAGTTTTCTTTTAAAAAAATTACTATGTACCCCGTGCGTTGCACGACGGAATTTAAATACTATTGTATTAAAATTTTGCATCATATAATCAGTAATAGAATATAAAGATTATGAAACTATCAGTAGTAGATATTTTGAAAATCACCGAAAAGAAAAAAAAAATCAAAAGATCAAAGTAAAAAAGTTATAAAAGTTTGTTGTTCATTGTATATTTTATTCTTAAAAACTGCAATAGTGGGTTGTTCATTATGCAAACCACAAGGTATTACTGTCTGGATGAGTTACTAAATGTATTAAAAAGGATCTCTTTAAGTAATCACCTATAATATATTTCTATCGATGTATTTAGTAATAGAATGTAATTATGTGAAAACATATCAAATGAAAAAATGTAGAAAATAAAAGAAAAATCCAATTTGAGCCAACTCCGCAAAAAAAAAAAAAAAAAAATCAAGAAAAACTTTTATAATAATTTTTTATAATAAATATTGACTGATTAATGATAGGCCAACCAAAAGACTAAAATGTCCATTTGGACTAAAGAGTCCAGCCTAGTACTAACATGTTTAGTAAAATATACAGACGGGTCATTTTCGTCATTTCGATTGTATAAATTCGAAAATTAGCAATCATATAAACTGGGTCTTTATGATTAAAAAGACACAAATATCGATTCGTATTAAGGAGTCCAGTTTGTGACTCGTGAATTAAGTAAAATATATGAATAACTCTTTTTCGTAATTTCGATGATATAACTCCGAAAGTCAGAAATCATATAAATTGGGAGGCCAATTAATTTCATCGATGAATCATGGTTTTTTTTTGCAAAATTTGACAGTCATCCTCGTCAAGCTTGGGGTTTAGAATATGCCGGCCAAAAGCTCAGTAGCCGATACCCGATTTCGAATTCCGATGCATAATTTTCCGATTATAGAGTGCAGACAAATTTTTTTTTCTTATCATCATACTTCATTTTTTCAGGAGTCAAGGACACTCATCATTTTCAACTATGAGACCAATTTTAGTTAAAAATAAGGATTGATATAAAAAACATCCCCGAGGTTTAGTCGATTAACTAAAACATCCTTATCTTCTAAGGAAATATCAAAAATCTGCTTTGACTGGTGAAACTTATCGATCAACCGATAAAAAACGTGAAACGATAAACAACCCATTAATAATTCCCGTACTTTTTCTTTTTTTCTTTACAAAAAAATAAATAAATATAGTAGAACTTTTCTGCCTTTCTTAATTTTCAACCCAAAAAAAACCTAACTCAAACATTATCATTGTCACCGCCGCCTCTTATCGATTAAAGTCTCCTTCGATTCCATCCAATTTTCCCTAGAACACACTCGACAAAAAGTATGCTCATATGGTATGAACGCTGTTGCGCCCCTTTTCCTTCCCATACACACGCAGCACATGGAAACCAACCCCGCTCTTTCTTTCTCCTCATCGCACCCATCCGTTTCTTCTAGCAATTGTTATCAACGACATTTTCAATGGCATCCTTTGTTCTGTCAGTGGTCCCGCACCCACCTGATTATTGTTGACATCAGATAGTCTTGTTGTTGGACTTTGATTAAACCCCTCAAACTCCTAGGCCCCCTTGAATTGCCTCTCCGCTGCCAAAGTCGCTGCCAGATTAATCCCTGACGGCGACGGAGCTTCTCCGCCGCATGCCGGCATTGACCTGTTTCCCAGAACATCTTGACCGAGGTTCATACCCGATGTTCCCACCGCCGTGAAAATTCTTCCCTCATATTCTCCGACACTGCCGCCGCTGTCACTACCATTGTCATCCTCGTCGCCTCTCACACCCATGGTGCTATTTGGCCTGGAAGTGTTTTTGGAGAACAGTTGTCAGTTTTGGCATTTATGGGTTGGGGTTATTTTAGCGTTTTGAGGAGAAGAGAGCACAATTTGTTAAACCAAATTGATTCCCATTTGCTAATTTTGTACCAAGAGATTCTGTAAGAATTTTTTTTTTCTATCTCCTGTTATTAAATCTTGCCCAAAATGTTAATTTGTGAACTAATTCTTTGTTCTTCATGTAAAATATCAGAATGAGATCCAGACACAAGTTTGATTGAAACCGAGAAATGATACATTATTGAAAGAATAAAACATCTTACATTATTGACGACATGAAAGATCTTTGATCGATTGTGTGATTTATATATTATAACAGTAGTCTTTTTTTATAAAAAAATTACTCCCTCCGTCCCAGAAAAATAGTCCAGTTTGAAAATGTACAACTTTTTTTAATTTGGTCAACACACCAAATGTACAACTCATTTTATGCTTCTAACTTCCACTAATACCCCATCTAGTATGTGTAAAATAAATGGTATCAAACATCTTGATTGTCCATGTACAAATTTATAATTACATATTTGTAAGTCATGTTTGATTTACATAAACATATTAATTATTTAATAATATGATTTAACGGTAATGATATTATTTTTTAATCTATTTTTTTTCAATCTAAAGAATTAGATTATTTAACTAAAACTAATTTTGCACAAAAAATAACACATTTAGCATAGATTAAAAAAAGAAGTTATTGGTATACTTTAATGTATTACAATTTAATTCAACAGACTTTAGATTATATTATAAAATTTAAAAAATAATTAAAACTAAAATATAAATTTTTCTGTAAAATGCCAAGTACGAAAAGGAAGTAAAAAAAAATAAAACACCTGTTTCGTTTCTACATTGGCCCAACACAAGAATATAGTATCGTGGCATTTAAAAAAATGGTACAAAAGATTTTATAAAAAATATGTATATTTATCATTGTGAGGGTTTAACATTTTGCGATGATTTTTTGAGATATTAATATATGTAACTTTAGCAGAAAGTCTTTTTTTTTTAAAGAAAAAATAATATAAAGAAAATCTATTCTAGTACTAGACTCCACCTTTTTTTTTTTTTTAAAAAAAATAGATTGTCCCGGTGAGAATCGAGACCTCGAACACAATAATTTCATCTCACATCTTAAATCACCTGACCATCTAACTCAACCCTCTCACGTTTAGTGGATCCCGCTTAAATATGGATAAAATCACTCTCTCGGTTAGAAATCCTTTGGTGAGACTTAATCTTATATCTACTCTCATGAAATGGAAAAATTGGCCGATTATTTTTTAATCTATGCTAAATGTTTTAAGTTTTTGTAAAAAGTTAGTTTTAGTAAAAAAAAAATATTATTCTTTAAATTGAAAAAAATAGATTAAAAAGCTAATATTATTATTTTCTAGCCATATTATTACAAAAATTAATATGTTTATGTAAATCAACCATGAATTACAAATATGTATATCTATAAAGTTGTGCAGTACTGTTTAAAAATAAATTGTTATTTTAAAAGATCATATAGTATATTTTTATAATTATAAAAAATAGAAAAACGAAATAGAAAACAGAAAAAATTAAATAAAAAGTGAAAAAGACTATTTTTAATTTTTACAAATTTTTAGGGTTATTTTTATAATTTTTAAAACTATTAAGGTATTTTTATAATTAAAACTAACAGAAAATCCGTTAATTCAAACAGAAATTGGCAAATTGGACAAAATCGGTTACCGGTTGAATAGTTTAAGGTAATATTGACTAATAAAAAAAAGGGTAAAATTAACAATGCATGTAAAACTTAGGGTAGATAGGCCAATTTTTCCGAAAATATAAAGTTGTCACCAAATAATCAAAAGATAAAATTGATTACGTGTAAATAATATCCAGTTTCTAAAGTTCCGACCTTCCCACAAATGATCAAAACCGAGTACTACACTAATTAATTTATTTAAACCACAAAAATCAATACTCCTTCCGTCCCATAATTATTGTCCAATTTAGATTTTCATTTCTAGTTCAAATTGTACTAAAAGTGAAATTTTAAAGAGGACAATAATTTTAGGACAGAGAGAGTAGCATAAAAAAAAAAAAAAAATCCTTAGAAACCAATTAGATACTTACACGGCAGCTCACTTAGACCGATTCTTCGGAAGCCATCCAATTTATTTATATTATTTACGCAACGGAAACCAAAAACACACACAGTCACACACTCCCGCCCTTTGACGCAGCTTTCGACGTCTCATTTCCCGTCACTCATTTCTCAGAGTTCAGCTAAAATCCAAAAATGGTAACTCATCCCGCCGCCAACACCGCCGGAGCCGGCCACGCCCAGGATTCATCCGCCGGGTTTAAGCTAGTGGGTTTCAAGAATTTCATCCGGGCCAACCCGAAGTCCGATTTGTTCGAGGTGAAGCGCTTCCACCACGTGGAGTTCTGGTGTGGAGATGCCACCAACACTTGCCGCCGCTTCTCATGGGGTCTCGGCATGCCGATTGCGGCGAAATCGGACCTCTCCACCGGCAACTCCGTCCATGCCTCCTATCTCCTCCGCTCCGGCGAACTCGATTTCCTCTTCACCGCTCCTTATTCGGCGTCCGTTTCCAACCCGGCTTCTGCTTCTATCCCCTCCTTCTCCACCGCCACTCATCGTTCCTTCACCTCCACCCATGGCCTCGCGGTGCGCGCCGTCGGGATAGAGGTCGTTGATGCCGAAGCCGCTTTTTCCGTTGCCGTTTCTCGCGGGGCGAAACCCGTTTTCGCCCCGGTTGTACTGAACGGTTCGATGGCGATTGCGGAAATTCATTTGTATGGGGACGTTGTGTTGCGGTTTGTTAGTCATAAGGATGCTGACAACCAAATTTTTTTACCTGGGTTCGAGGCAGTTGAGGATGTAAGCAGTTCCTATGCAGAGCTGGATTATGGGATTCGCAGGCTGGATCATGCTGTTGGAAACGTGCCGGAATTGGGGCCTGCTGTTGAATATGTGAAAAGTTTTACTGGGTTTCATGAATTTGCTGAATTCACTGCTGAGGATGTTGGGACTGCTGAGAGTGGTTTGAATTCGGTGGTTTTGGCTAATAATAATGAAAATGTTTTGTTGCCAATGAATGAGCCTGTTTATGGGACTAAAAGGAAGAGCCAGATTCAGACTTATCTGGAGCACAATGAGGGAGCAGGACTGCAGCATTTGGCATTGGTGAGCGAGAACATATTCAGAACACTGAGAGAAATGAGGAAGAGGAGTGGGGTGGGAGGTTTTGAGTTTATGCCGTCTCCTCCGCCTACTTATTATAAGAACTTGAAGAATAGGGCTGGGGATGTGTTGAGCGATGAGCAGATTAAGGAGTGCGAAGAGTTGGGGATTCTTGTAGATAGGGACGATCAGGGAACTCTTCTTCAGATCTTCACCAAGCCTGTTGGGGACAGGTAATTGCAATCTTTAGATCATTAACTGTTTCAGTAAGCCAGTAGTAGTCAAATTACTTAATTTTTGTTCTGCAGTTGTGCAAATCTTATCTCTTGGTCATAATGTAGATTAGTCACTTTGGTAAGTGTGCATCATCGCGAGTTTTAGTGATGTGCGCTCTATAAATTTGGAGAAGGTTTATGCTTTGGTCATAACATAAACGAAGTCTTTTGCTGGAGCAGGATAATTTCGTCATATCTGGTAGATAAATATTTGATTGTAGAAAATACCTCTGATGCCTAATGTAGCTGTAATGTGTTTATTGATCTTGATTTGGCTGCAATCATATTGGCTTCAGCCAGCCAACATGATGAGCGGTTAAGTGTAAACTCGTGTCAACAATAAAGAGAACTTTCCCGCACCCCCACACACACACACACACAAAAAATAAAAAGGAAGAGAAAAAATCTCTTTGCATCCTGCTTTTGATTCAAGGCTATCTTTTCTCTTGTATCAGTTTCTTCTTCGTGCAGAATTACGGCATGTTTAGGCTTTTTCAGTTGTTTCTTCAAGTCTACTAATTTTGTTTCCTTTGCCATGGGGTCAACTTCTGTTTCCTTTTCCCTAAACATTTCCCTTTTCTGGAGCTCTCTTCTGAGCCTTGACATGCCTGATTTGTTCTTTGGAATCTGCAAATAGCTCTTCTTTTCATTCCCAATAGATGATTTATTGCTATGTGAGGACTGACGGGTCTATGCCATAACCTACCATGCCTTGTTATAATTTTTACAGTAGATCTTACTGTTTGGTGTAGTATTATAGCATACTCCCCTTTTGTTTCGGGCTCACTGGAGATGTTTTTATTCTTTGTGCATTTATTTAGTGGAGTTGGGCAGTCTGTTGATCTCGTTATTGTGTCCCAAAATTTTTCATCATTCTAAGCATGTTTAATCTGGTTAGAGTGCGATGTAAAAACTGAAGGTATGTTGACTTTTATAGCTTCATGATTCACATTTGGGTCACAGTTGCAATGTGCAAAATGCTCAGACGTTTCTCTTTTTGGCCTTTTGTGATGTTGTGATCATGATATATCTTAATCTCGTTTATAAAGCTCCAGTGTTGCATTGATAAATCATTGGAACATTTTGGAAGAGATGTCTGTTTGTTTCCTTCTGAATTATTTGGTAAGGCTCTAGAATTTATCTTGTTCATTATTCCAAATCATTTTCTGAATGCACATTGCATGGGAATGGTGGTAAGAGCTTATGATAGATAAACAATTCAGTAAATCCTGTCTTTGCTTCTGTATAATTCGCTGGATGTTAATGGGCAGGTCAACATTTAAAATCCTTTGGGCTTTCTCAGTTGTGTGCTGCTACCCTAATACGCTGTATCTTGTATGACCAAACTTTCTTGTCTATGATTGCAGGCCTACGATATTCATAGAGATAATTCAAAGAGTGGGGTGCATGATGAAAGATGAGGAAGGAAAAGTTCACCAGAAGGGTGGGTGTGGAGGATTTGGGAAGGGAAATTTTTCCGAACTCTTCAAATCTATCGAAGAGTATGAGAAAATGCTTGAAGCTAAACAAATTCCACAAACTACTGCTGTGTGATTTTGAATCCTCTTCCCTTAGCAGTAATAGCTATTCCATAATTCCCAGAAAAAGGGATGAATCATGTACGCGAATCTCAGATATGGTATCCCAAGAATCTCTGTACTCTGCAAAACCTAGTTGATTAGGTTGTACTCCTGTGGGTTAGGGCCAGGTCACTTTATTTGGACTGTAAATGTAATACATAAACACAAAGTTGGAAATTCAGTTATAATCTAAATGTGGCCCCTTTACCATATTGAAATATCTACTGCTGATTAGCAAAGGAAGTTAAGCAGGCCATTTGTATCGAAAGAAAACTATGTTCATTCCTTCCTCTAACAGCCGGCTTGGGGAACAAATGGCCTTTTACTGCTTATTTTAGTTGAACAAAGTCAAATACATCGTGCTTATGACATAATGTGAACGTTGAAACTATCTTCCTCTTTTGATTTTGGTGCCAATTGGAACAACCAACAGTTAAAGTAATCCATTTGAAGTGTAATTAAACATTAAAAGGACACACCAATTCTGCACTACACCAACTAAATTTGGTCTATAAATTGCTACAATTTCATCAGTAGTTGCTCAACCTGGGTAGCTAAGAAGTACGAACTACCATTTCTTGGCTTCATCTGTTTGAGCCTTCTGATTAGTAAACAACCATAATGGCCACATGGTTTCTTGAGGTTTTCTTACCTAGTGAGTTCACTACATGGAAACACATAATGGTATCATGAAAAAAAACGAGGCGATATCCTCTCCTGAGCTTGCTTAATTATTTTTTCAGTTACTACCACTTCCAAACTTCTTGAAGGACTTCCTGGCTTTTCTTGACCTTGCAAGGCGGCGGCATTTTGAGTTCCTGGCTTTTCTTGACCTTGCAAGGCAGCGACATTCGTTGTATCGTCGCCAAACAAGGATTGCAAAGCCCTTACAAGGTGTTCATGGAAGTTTTCTTCTCCTTTCTATCCCTTCTGAGCTCCTAGCTAGTACTATCAAATTTCGTGACCATTTTCGGCATCATGTACGTAAGGATTATTATAAGTATGTATCATGTATTCAGTCATCATTCCAGTTGTTTATCTACATAGAACTTCATCCAATTCAAGCCATTCTCAGTCAATGCGATTTAAGTGCCTCAAAGCGCAACTAGCTGCTTTTAGAATGTACAGGCTGCGCATCTGCCTCTACACATAATCCACATATATATATGTTGTTTGATTAAGATGTAACCTCAATCCCCTCTTGGATCAATTGTTAATTTGGTTATACTTTCTCCGTCTTACTTTAATAGTCAGCTTAGTACCACAGTGGAAGTGTAGAACTAAGGGAGAAGTATTACTTTTTTTTTTTTTTTTGGATACAATGAAGATTAAAACCTAATGAAAATTAAATAAAATGTTACAATAGACGTGGATATATTTTGGTGCAGTGCTGCAATCACAGTTTCATTCCAGATGCTTGATTATATAACGGCTGCAATCCCATCGGTTAAAACATTGGTGAGGATGCCAAATAACATTCTGTCGCGAAACTAGACTTCCATAGAATATTTCCAGGTTCTTAAGTTGTGCTTAGTGTCTTTCTCTTTTTCCCTATGAAAATGTAAAAGTTGTTAGAATGTGTATTTTGAGGATATTGGGAATAACCTATTTATTCCCCCCCCCCAAAAAAAAAAAACTTGATGTGTGTATTTCACATTGGATAAATTATTTTTTCAAATAAAAAACAGTGTAAATCGGTACCAGTCACCTACTTCATAGTGTTTCTTTAGAGCAACTCCACTCGAGACGTGGAGTTCTCTATTCCAATTGAGACCCTTTTCCCCCGATGCGGCACTCATGAGGAAGATGCTCTTCATCTATTCTTCCGGTGTGACTCTTCATAGGCACTGTGGGCATTCTCTATTCCAACTTTTGCATCCATCTTCACTAATACATACTAATCTTTACTCCAATGGTTTATAGGCTGGATTCAGACTCATCCGTCGCAAGAAGATTTGGATCTCTTCTTATTAATTATATGTCGGATTTGGACAGAAAGAAATAATGAAATATGGAGGAATCAGAGTCATGATCCGACAGTATCTTGGCGCTTAATTCAAACAGATTTTGATTTCCACAAACAAAATCTACTTCACTTGGGATTTCAACGTTTGCATTTGCATCCACAGCACACCAGGGTTCCAAACCTCTCTCATGTATTCATTGATGGATCATTGAGCCACACTACAAGGCGGGCTGCGGGGGCATGGAAAATTATTTTATGGAGTGGTCCTGCAAATCAAGACTGTAGCCCTTACAGTGCAATCTCCTTTTCAATCAGAGGCTATGACGTGCCTAATGGCCTTACAAGAGGCTAGTTCCTTATGTCACGGGCTGGTCTTTTAATAGCAATCCGTGCGGCACTAGCTCACTCAAATGTATAAAGTGATGCTAGCTCAGCCTATCTAAGTAAATTCTGCAAGTTTGGAATGAGAAATTTAGGAAGAAAAAAAGGTTCTTAACCTAACTCAAAGAAGACCTCTCAAGTTATTTAGAACCCTTTCAATTCTACACTTATACAAGGCAAGACCAATTTCTAGAGAGGGGTCTCTCTCTAGAACAGAGAGCTCTCCCCAAATCTCCATGCCTAACCCACCAATTTTCATCTCGAATTATAACTCTTGAATCATTCTCTTCTCCTCCGCAATAACTTAATCTGGTCAAGCTTTTAGTTTTACTGGAACCAATTTCATGATCTACAACTCCTGTATCATTTCCTCTTCCGCCTCATATGTTTCAATTTGTTCAAACTTTAAAATTCCCTACATCTCTCGAAGCCACAAATCACAAAAGGTATGAACTGATTACCAGAATAATGGATGAAGAGATTAATTCCTGTGACAACACAAATTACAGTAACCTCCTCATTGGCTATTTGGTAGACTACCGAAGTTTTAGTTGTCAAAAAATCCAAAGTTATATCAGAAATCGATGGGGTTTCCATGTGTCAATCAGTCACAAAGACGGAAATTCTTATATTGTACAGTTCTTTAGGAAGGATCAACTATTAAAAGTCATGAAGAATGGACCTCATTCAATTGAGGATGCCCTTCTATTTTTCCACAAATGGTGTCCCAACGATGCTCACCAAAATCTGCAGGCAGAGAAGGTCTTAATTCAGGTACGCATATATGGTTTTACCATTGTAGTATCTCAGCCACAGGACAGGCAGAGAGCTGGTTTCAAAGATTGGTAAAGTAGAAGAAATCTCAATCAAATTCTGGCCATCAAAGCGAACCAGTGTTGTTCAAGCGAAAATTCTGATCAAGCTCTCAGATCCCTTAGTTCCAGGTTTCTATATACATCCATCTATAGGGGAAAAGCTTTTGGTGAAGTGTTGTTATCAAAAGGCTTATAAATTTTGCAAAAGGTGTAGACTTCTGGGACATTCTTCAACAAATTGCAGCATCAAAGAAAAATCTGATCTGATAATTATACATGAATCTGAGTTTATGAGCTATTCCGAAAGGATAGTTGGGATGGATGTTGATGAAGTTTCAGATCTGAATCTATTGTGTGGGAGGACTTCTGCCGAAAATTTGCAAAAGGAAGCAATGGGTTTCAGTCAGTCAACGTGATAGCAATCTCGTAGATGAAACAAATTTCGTTAATGCAACCATCAAACAAGAAAGTACGAAAATAATTTGTCTATCACGTGAAACTCAAAAGAGTGCGAAAAATTCACAGTAAGATGATCGTTTATCTAAGGATTTCTATCTCTTTAACTCAAACCAAGCAAAGAACACATAATGTATGAAAGATTCGAATTAAACAACAACACACACTAAAAATAGTAAGGACACCATTCAATATACTCGATCAGTCATCAATCAAGAGACTCAATAAAGGTAGGAGCAAATAATGCTCAACTACGAAGGAATACTATTGATTAGTAATCTCCATAACTAACAAAGATATGCAACACATACACTATCTCAAAATGTTTATGCCAAAGCAAAACTTATCCAACAAAAAGTAGGACAAACCCCACAAAGGAACTCATGAACACACACATCATGAATTTCAAAAACCAAGCCAAAAGAAAGGCTCATCAATCGAACTACTAGAAGTACTATGAAAATAAGAAGTTTATTTTTAAAACAATTCTATCAACAAGCATACTTGAAAAAGAACGGTTTCTGTAAGATCAAAAGACCCAAGACAAGATGAAAACCCTCTTAGTTAAATCATACTTGACAAATAAAAAATAGACACACCATTTAACGAAAATTACTCACAGAAAAAACTCTCATTAGAGAAGACTCAAAATGACCACACACGAGTACCTATAACCATCGGCCATGCCCCCCTATTTATAGAGTAGCAACCTTAGTCACAAAACACAAAAGAAGACCAATTAGGACTCTCTAATCTTATCTCTCGCAGGAGTAGGGTTAGAAGAGTATTTGATCTCTTTGAATCTATCTAAAATCTAGGAAACCTTATATAAATGACTTATCCTCAAATAGGAAAATACTTATAAGGAATTTAAGACTCTGAAACAGAAAACTCTCTAGCTTAATTCAGCCCACATGGCTTATCTTAACTAGATAAACTTGAAAAATTAAACTCCTAGACTTAGACAACTCTGATCTCGAAATTCAGCAACAATTGCTGAAGTAAAATGTCTTGAAAGCCCTTCCAAAAGGTGGAATATTGGTCTTGCGCCCATCAAGTTGTAGATCAACGTCATCGGACCACCCAATCGAACACTTGGTACGGAAGATACACGCCCTTTGATCGCCACCATCAGCGCCAAACACCAACCCTTGGTTCCCAACGGAACCATTCCAATCACATGAAGCATCATGCTCTTTCTCCACCTCCAAGGCAGTAAAGTACGCCTCATAGAGCCTTGATTGTTGTCTTATCTTCGAGTTCTGTTTATACTCCTTGTCCAACCCATAGAAGAAACGATCTGTCAACATAATCGTTTTCATCCACATTGGAGCTCAGGAACACGCCTTCTAGTTCCTCATAGTAAGATTGAATGGATCTACCATTCTGCTTACACTCGAGCAACTTCACTTTCGCCTCTGCAAAGGTGTTAGAACCAACATATCTTTCTCGCAAAACATTTCTCAATTCATGCCAATCATCACAACTATGATACCAATGATGTGAATAGATATTTGATACTAGTTTCCACCAATTCAAAGTGCTAGAACGAAAACAACCTACAACTAAGGCTATTTTCTCACTCTCCTTTTCAATGTTAAGCAATACAAACAAATTCTCAATGTTCTTTTCCCAAGTATCATAGTCTTTATGGTAATCATAAAACAAAGGCAATGACACTTTTAACATATCAGCATATGAGGGCACTTGTTTCACTTCAAAACAGTCACATAAAACTTTCATACCTTCAGCTATAAGATTGA